CTAGCGGGAAACGTTTGCTTCATAGTATATTCGGGGTGATGATGAATTTTGTATCTCATGTTCAACCTACATTATCCATTCAAAGGCGCATACAGTATGCTTCATAAATAAAGTCATGACCTGGCATGTCAAGGGGAAAAAAAAAAAGAAAGCCCAGACTTACTGGGGCGCTATAATCCAAGTAGGTAACTATGATGGCCGTCGCTGCCGTTACGTGAATACCCAGTTCATACCAACGCTCACAGTGATTCAGCCCGATCCTGGCGACTGGGCTTCACCTACGCCCCTTAATGGGACTTTCATCGGTCACTAGATGAATAGATGAAAGCTGGTCGGCCAATTTCGTCCGTACGAAAGCCAGGGCTGGGGATCAGTGAGGTACACCCTCAGGAACCATTCCATGTGCTCGGTTCCGCCTGGTCAAGCGAGCCAAACTAACATCTCAAACACGGGCAGATAAAAAGTATTTTTTTGCAGTGTTCTCCAACACGCCCGCAAAATTCACATATGTCTGACTGCATCAGGAGTACACAATTGTCTGGGCCGTGTTGCGGTAGTGGGTCTATTGACGAGGGTATAAGAAGGTCGTCCGACCCGGGTCACGTCGTATTCTGACTTTGCTTATCCTGTACCGATTGCCACAGCATAGCCTTCCAGCCTGGCACTCGTTTCGGCCGGAATATATGCTGCTCTTTCGCCTCAACTCCATCATATTGTACCATAACCTTTCCCTGCCAGCAATGGAATGGGTATTCGGCACTCTTGATATTGATGAGTTGCGCTCGCGGCACAAGTCTCCGCACATCCCGAACATTTGACAGTTGAGACCCCAATAAACATTGACAGGTCCCACCCGCTACGACGTGCCACTGCAGCTCTCTCTCTTGATTAGTGGTGTCGCGGAGTTAGACGGGACCGCACGTTGAGACGTCTGCAGGTATGGGTTACATCATTGCTGCGGGAGTGAAGCTGACCTGTCGGGTGTGGCGGGTAGTCCTGGACGCCAACGGCCATTTTGTCGCAAACAAAGAAAAGCGCTATCGCCTTTGCTTCATTACAGGATACGAGTGCCCCTTGGTCTCATGGCTGGCATCGACTAGGGAGATATCGTGAATGACTACTTTCAGTGAAATGAGCGGTCGCATTCACCGTCCGTGGGAAGTTCACGCATTACGAGAGTTCTTCCGGCAGAAGTGCGGTGTCTGAAGGTATTTCTGTTGGCTTCTGTCCGACAGGGCCATTGCTAGCCTCTGTGGAGAGGCGCTCATTTCAGGCACTGCTGGCGCTCGCCGGTGTTATGACTCTGTTGGCATACTACAGCAACTCTGCACTGCCACTTATCCTGGCAGCAAGAAGACAACTGGCGAAGAGTTTAATGGAAGTATCTCGTCGCTAAGAGATGATGAAGTCGAAAATCAGTGCTGCAGCTCAACAGGACGGCGCCGTCCTGGCACTGAAACTCATAAGAAAGAACCGTGATCTGCTACTCAATGGCCTTCTTCAGCAACGAATGATGCCAAAAATGGCAGCCTGTCAGCAACTTTACCGAAAATCTACACCCCATCACTTTCGAGCTCTATCCGACGTAATAATCCCACATAAACCTGCCGTATCAAACTCACTTCCATCGTTCGTGATAGCTCTGAAGCTGGACCTCCGCTCTATCGCACAATTTCATAAGGTCGCCCCAAATAGCCCMACCGTGGCACGCATTGCAATATGCGACAAAAATACCAGCCGTTCCTGCCTTTCATCTACTCCTCATGCCACTCTACCCGCATCTCCGAACGCTTAGCTTGTTCACTTCGACTATTGCGGCTGAGGTTCAAATCTCAGCTCGGCAAAGACCGCGGAACCAGAACGAACCAACGACTTCGAGCTGTTGTCTTAGCTGGGCCAATTTCTTGTTCGTTTGCCTACAGGCACTGCCGGACCAAAACAATGGCTGTCAGCCGAGCCGAAGGGGAAAACGGGAAGATGCAGAGGATCAGTACGTCAAGTCTCTCCAGACACTGCACGGGTTTCTAAGTGGGCGTCTCAAGCTGCAGTAAAAGTGGGATGGTTGCCGTCTGAAATGGCTTCCGGAGACTACCGCGCGCTACCCGAATAAGTAAATTTTTGAATCGCCTAMACCAGACCACGATATGAACAAGGAAACGGGCGTTGGTCACACAATATGTTCCCTGAGTTCCAGATCCGACGTTCTCTGCACAACCTTTTGTCGTGCGCGCCACAATCGGAATCATTTGTGCATCATGACTCATGTGACTCCTTGCTCGATCGACTCCCTTTAAACATGAACAGTGAGCCACTGCTCTTGACGTCAATCAGATGACATGTGAGTCTAACTCACTTGGCGCTGCATGTTACATATGAATCGCCCGTCAAACAATATGGTTGGGCCGTCAAGCCTTTGCGCACCATAATTATTTTTTCTGACAATTCCTCAGTCCATACTCCGGGCACTCTGCCTGGGCGCAGACTCACTGAATGCTCTGCCCCACTGCAATCGGACTCTATTTCATCTGTTGCGATCCGATACTGACGCGAATCCCTTTCGCGCGTGGAGTTGGACTTCCAGTTAAACGCCGTGCTAATTGCTATATGTGATAAGATCCGCAGAGCAGTCGTTGATGTGGCTGTGTCAATCGCACCTTGCGCATATGTTGATCAGTTGGATACATGCAATACTTGGCCAACGTCGAAGTTCTCGTGGAATTCCTTCTTTTGAACCCTGAGTCCTTTAAACCACAGATATTATCTCAGGAATGTGGCAGGGAAGTTCCCCCGACTCCGTTCTGACGCCATGAATGTGCCGGAGTATTACGCGTGGTTGGATTCTCTGACCCGGCCTTTGGGGCCATTTCATGAGCGTGCTTGTCTGCCACAACTCGCAGGAAGTGACTGGTCGTTTGTTGTATGCATAATTCCGCCTTCTAGCCTGTCAACTTGGCCTAGCAATTGTTGGATCACGTTTGCGGCACGGTTTCGGAATGCGTACCATGTCATCCAGATATGTCGTCCTTCCCTGAGTGGCCCGCTAGTAAGACCACTCGAAAGCCGAGCAGGCCTGATAACTTCAACTACTACTATATCGCCTCCCTTACGAATATCACCTTGCCAGACACCCTCCCAGTACACCACCGCCAGAAACGATCCAAGTGTGCAACAATGTCTTGATCCAGAAGAAACGATGCTATGCCCACTCCAATGAAGAGTGGTTGGGAAGCGCTGTAAGTGGAAAATTCTTATCCCTCTTTTTCAGATATGCTAGATTTAATAATCCGCTGCTGCAGGCGGAGACGGTTTCGAGAGGAGATCAAATCAGGTTCCGCTGAGGTGCCGAATAGCCGACCTGCGCCACAACTTAAGCGTTTTCTGGCGTCAATGCTATCAAACGATGGACGTCCTCAGTGCTTCCCATAATGTCTTCTAACCAGCTATCTACAGCACCAATATCCCAACTCACTCCCGAAGGTCGAAGAGAAGTTTGACCATCAACAATGTGTTGAGTCTTGCGTTCAATGACAGAACGAGTACGTTGATATCCGCGGCTGGAGAAAAAGGTAGAGGGCGATGACAAGTTGATCATGTGATCGAAGCGTGGTAAGTTTCATACTTGGAAAACATCATAGAAGGCGTATGATATTTTGATAGCAATGTTCTCTCGATCAGGACAAGGCAGAGCTCTTGCCTTAGAATGGCAGAAGTCTAGGTTCAAGGGGTCATCGTCATGAAGATCTCGACTCCCCTAATTTTCTCCAATCGCATTATTACCCACCACAGCACAGCCAATGAGTCGTCTACCCCGTCTTCTCTGCGGACTCCACAAGCGTAATTTCCTCTTCCTCATCTTTCAAAATGCCTTCTTCCTTTCATACCACCAAGGGATGTTCATCGACGGCGGAAAGTGGGCTTGGGGAGCGTGCGTTCGCGGCCACCGTGCGACAACTTGAAACACCAAAGTACGCCTATCTCTCGCCAGATCATTTGAAGTACTCACAATCCACCAGATCGACCATCGATTAGAGTCGGCAGACAGGGCCGCCCCTCTTCAGCGTATGCAACTTCGCCCTATGCCAGGCTTCAAAAAGCACACCAGAGTCGGACGTGAGCCTAAGTCTCAACCTTGAAAGGTAAGTGTCACCAGCAAAGAGGGGATTGCGCCATTCTGATTCGCTTCTGATCATTATGATTGCGTGCTTTCATGCAGTTATTCGCTGCTGTGACCTTTTCTCTTCCGGTTATTAAGCCAGAAATCATCGGATATCACCCACCGTACCATCAGCGGCTTCCTCCCCGTCACGCCACGTCCCTCGAGTGAGTCTCCCAGGGCCACCACTCAGGACGCTACGACTCCAAATCAGCCACGCTGGCACCTGCCCTAGCGCAGCGGGCGCAGTCCACTCACGGCCTTTGCCGCGGTCACACTGGTTCATGGACACGCAGATGACATGCCTGAATATCCATCCTGACTCCGGACGCGCGCGTGCATACGGTCACCTATATCACAGGCGTCATCATTATACAGACGCGCATCCATAGGGCCACCATATCCTGACATCAGGATCGTGCCGCCACACCTCTCGGACTTCCCGGTGAGTTGCGGCTCGTCTACGGCCGCTGCTCTTGCATCCATGGCTGCCACCCTCTCTCGATGGCGATGATGGACGGTCAGATGTTCTTCTTGGGGATGGAGGGTTACGCAGACCATAGCACTACGATCAGGAGCAGCATCCGTCATAACAGTACGGGATGTCCGTCGTCGGTCATCATGTTGGTCCAGTCCTTCTGCATAACCTGGGGAATAGCGTGGTTACAGTAGACGTGCATGCAAGGTACGCCGAAGTCATTAAAACTAAACATGGTCCATTGATCCGAAGAACAGGAAAGTGAAAAATGTTAGCAAAGAGCAGTAAGCACCCACTGCTTTTTGCTAACAACGCTGAATGATCCCTCCACCGATAGCCCAGTTCCTCAGTGCCATATCTTCGGCTTCCTCAAGAGCCCTTCCAACTCAAAATGCCGTCAACATTGTCCATCCGGTCACTCCCGCTGTTCGGACCAGAGAATGTCCAAAATCCACAAGAACTTTTTTGTGGCAGCTTGCATTGCTCGTGCCAGCAGCGAGCGCGGACATCCTCGAGACTGGCCTCGAAAGCTTGCCATTCCTGCTCGGTGGTGGTGTCAGGCCGATCTGCGATGACCCAGGGAGCATGCATGTGGCGCTGATGTTGGGTGAAGAGATCCTTGCGGTTGAAGTCGTTGGCTTGGTGGCTGGGTTGGTCGTGGTGGTTGCGGGTGGAAGTTGAGGAGTGTTGTTGCGTTTGTGACCGCCGTTGCAGTTGCCAACGTCGCAGCGGAAGAAGCCGAGTCGCACGTGCTGAAATGCAACCTGCCGCCTCCATCGCCTCCATTCGTTCTTGGGTCAAAGGAGCTTGTGCAGCCGAAGTGCGAGAAGCTGCAGACGAAGACGTGGCCCTTGGTCGTCGACGACTTGGCGGGTTATTGTGTCGAGGCTGACGCCACTTTAGTGTGTGGCTTCATTCGAGTCTTCCTTTTGGTAATACCATCCGATCTCCTGCTGGGAACTGACATAGGAGCTAACTCTGGGGCATTATTGGAGGGTTCTGTAGCAGGAGCAGGGTCAATGGCGGTTTGTTGTCGAGATGGAGTGTCCTGAGTTCGTCTCCTTCTACGAGGGTTCCGGTAGCCTGTCCGATATAACGCGGACTGAATGGCGCCGAAGCTTCGACGACACCCAAAATCTCGTTGAAATTGAGCCACAATTGTCTTCCTCGACAGATTTTTGTATCCACAGTACCATTGAGGTAGACGGTCTAGCTCCTCGGGCGTCCATGGGCGCGTTGTGGGTAATGCTACAGAAAACAATCAGCCTGATTGCCTGCATTAAAAGATTTTTTAGCGGACCTGGTCCATGCATATCCTTTCTAATACCTTTCTGTGTCGTCCGATGGGAAGGATTGGTTGGAGTGTTTGAGTCCGTCTCGGCCGATTTATCATATGTCGGTTGGGATGACTGATCTCCAAGTTGCTTGAGAGCCTCACGCCTTTTTGCCAACCTCGACAGTACGTCCTTGTTTGTGTCAATGACTGCATTTGGACCGGGAAGAAAAGATATAATCAGTTTTTGGAAGAATACCTGGACACCACACGGGAAGGTGAGTACTCACTCTGCGATGCCAGTTCATTCAGCAGCGACAACTCCTCCGCTACCCGTTTCATTGTTTCTTTCTCAGCCAGCACATCGCTCGGATGCAAGAGTAGGTGAACTAGCTGTCGAGGCATACCCGTCATGACCAAGTCGTGGTCAAGTTTTGACAACTTAATCAACCCTTTACGGCCCTCAAGACGGAGATGATAGGAGCCGTCTTCCTGGGGCATCGGCTCATACGTAGGCGCAAGGAGAATGTCAATCCAGCGGATATCGTTGTCAAACTCTCCATTTTCATCTTTCAGAATGCGAAGTTCATCAAATAATACCCCAACTCTCTCTGCGATCGAGTCACTGGCGAAAGGAACATGGAAATGCCGCGCAAGGCTATCTTCGCTTTGGAGAACAGCGCTTTGTGAACGCAATAACTGAAGCACTGACTGTAACCGTTGCCGCGCGGTGTTAAAATGTGTATGGACTTTCTCCTCGCAAATCGACACGACCGAACTAAAGCCGCTCTCGAAGTTCTTCTGGCCTTGGAGCTGGGGACTCATTTCTGGGGACACTGCTTCACGAAAAATCTGAGAAGTAGTCCCTTGGACAGGTTTTATGGGCAGACGACAGGGTTCTCCAACTTAAATGCCTACGCTCGAGAAAACCTAGCAAGTTTCTCCCAGTCGAACGGCTGTGAAGGAACCTGAACCCGAGCCAATCGTGTGCAGTATCTTTCGGCATTGCCTCACAGCCGCCGACAGCCAGGACATGTTATTGGCATAGCAAACACAACACCCTAGATCTACAACTAGTAAGTTCGGAGTTGATTGGATCGTCCCACAAAGAATAGCCAAATAGGGAAAAAGCTCGGTCAAGGAGATGAAGGCTAGTGGACATTATTCGTAAAAACCAGGGCCGGGCATCAAGAAGGTAACACGGAAGGCACCATTTTGTGCTCGAACGGAAAGATCCCACGCCTATTTCAGTCCAGAAGAATAATGCGGCTATTTGCGCGCGACATCGGTCGTTGAGAGCAATGCAGCCACGGGTTACTATTTAGTGTACAGTGGTTATCCTTATGTATGTGGCTGCAGTACATAGCGCAGAAAGTCCGGAAAGGAGATATTATAATGCATATGACGGGGAATTGGCTTTGTGCGCAGATGTGGAAGGAAACACACCCGTACTACTACTGTAACATGTCCATGTGTCATCAATCCGATTTATCGCTCGTCGTTAACTTGATGGAATGTCCCTTCTGCCTCAAAGCAACATAAATACCAACATAATTGCCAGTGGTCCCCTTTAAGATCTGGCGTTATGTTGCGGACATCTTCGAATAGCTCAAACAATGGTTTTTTTCTGTCTCGCTTCCTCCCTCCCAATACACTCACCCACGAAGGCCAATTCTCCTGTCCCTATACCCGCCAGTCACAATACGAAAAATGTCTCTACTGCGGGTTCAGCAACGTTGCTGGCGCTGCAATCTGTAAACGGTGTACAGAATGCCTCACTAGTGGCAAATAACATTACTCGCCCTGTAAGTTATTGCCCGTACTTTGTACCTGCTCTGGTTACAACATGCTCATTCATCCTTTGGCTCTCTGTTTCTCCGCTCGCTCCTTCGAATAGCAGTGTGGTATCAATGAGTGGAATTTGACTTTCCCATTGCAATAATGAAAGGCGGCTCAATGTGTGGTTACCTGGCGTCAGAGAAGCTATTGAACGCGAAATTACAGGGAATTCCATGCCTGTATTTGTCACTACCACTTAATAGTCATATGTAGTGTCTTTTGTATAGCAATATGTTACTATCTTAATGGTGTATTGCGTACGAGATGATACAATCACGAGTATCTACGTGGAGTTGGTTAGAGGTCCAGGCTACTGATCAGCCGGACCTGCAGCGGTAAAGACGTCTTACAGTGATGCTTGCTTAGATGATGTCACAGCACTCAAACCCGGACGAATAACTAAAGCGGAGCAGCAAGAGCTCATGGAGTAACATCAGTTCAGAAAATCAGTTCCTGGACTCAGAGTCTGGTGCGCAAAAGCAGATTCTCGGCCCTTTTTGTTCATCATCTCACGAAAGGGTCATCTGCACGCTGCAGATGCGCTGGGATTGACTATTGGTTCCTAGAGCGACCGACCATGTTGCGGTGGCGGCTTTCTTTCAACCCCTTTCGGATTTCTTTGTCTTCATGTCCACTAAGAAATCACGAAGGCAGCCATGCCCTATCTTTGCCCCCCCGGTTGTTACGGGTACGCCCAGTGTAGAATAGGCGGAGACGCAAACAGTCTTTGTCTGGTTTTGCCCTTGTACAACCCGGAATCATGGTGCACCTGTTCTCGAGCACAGCACAGCATTCTACAGATTGGGAAAATGATCCGCTATGAAACCAATAGTGGGAAAGCGTCGGCAATGATCACTTTCAGTTGAGCAGAAATCAGCAGGGCAACAGCATCTTCATTGTTCTTAAAGACTCTTGCAGCAGGTAGTGGAAGCGCTCTGCCCTTTGGTATTGGATCTCAAAGGATGGCGAGCCGGTAATGGGGCTGTAGTACTGTACCCGCGGTTGACGTGTTCCCAGTATCTAGGGTCGTCAACTGTCTCCTGTAATACACACCTACTAAAGAGACGCTTGTAAGCTGAATGTGACTGATTTTCATGCTGAAGACAAGTAGAATTCCTTGTGTTGTGTACCTAATTACTAGTCCACTGCTGGCCGCCCAGCTCATTGACACGCTAATGCAAAGGTGTTAACACTATTGACGTCTTTGGCAGTTGGCTCAGTCCGAGATCCAATAACAAATCGAAATCCACATATTGTTGAAAGGAGACCTGGCCTTATCTAAACAAATCAAATGCCTTGCTGCATGGTTTGCCCTAGAATAGTACGTACAGTGGCGAACCTGCTGCTCATACTCTTTCAGAAAGGGAGAGGCCCTTTGGTCAGACTGGAGCAAGGATGGCCATACCAGGTTCATTAGCCAGACAGTTCTTGCATCGGAACCCTTAAAGAGCCATCAGACAGGGGTTATATGATCGGATTCTCTATGGCCAGTTCTCAATCATTGTTAAGGTTGAACGTACTGGGATGATACTGCATCGCCTTCCGTCCCCACCAGGTGCTTGTCGGGCTGTTGAAATCTGTGTTAACTAACCCGAAGAAGTTATGTATCAAGTTTGTTGCTGGGTCCTTGTACTGACCTAAGAGCAGCTTTTGATTTCATATCAACGAAAGCTAGGCGCGTCCTTCTCTCTCTCTCTCTCTCTACCCACGAGCTCTACGGATTACCGTAACCAGTCTCATTCATAAAGATGGATTTCTAAAGGAGTCAGAGCTCCAACGTGGGGAGCCGGAACGTTTCATTACAGATATATCCGCCGATGACCAGCGAGTATCGCGACAGGTAGGGAATATGTTCGAAGTCGTTTTGGCCATCCTCCGAAATACACTATCCTATACAATAAGATCCTCCATTTGGAAAGCCCATCCCAACACGATATATTCCCTGTGGCTGTTTACTGCTTGGTACCTGCCCATAGGCAACTCGAGTTTCCGCAACTCTCAGAAGGCGCCTTTGCACAAAGTTGAGGATGTATACTGACGTCTCAAGGAACGCATCCGCACCTATTAAAGCTTGAACTTTATTTTCCTTCTTGGTTCAGTGGGAAGAAAACTTGGTACAGCTCTATGTGTTTATCTCTCATCCTCAAGCGGCGCGCAGTCTTGTTTATCATGTTCACTGAGACTCAACGTCCTCACTGTCATTGCTCAAGGATTCTCTTGGCTGACCACCCCTTACAGAACCTGCAATTGAGACCTCTTTGGAACATCCATCGGATTCTCGCATCCCCCGAGCAAGTCTAATTTCAGGCGACTCGGGAGAGACCCTCAATGGGACGGTACGAGAAAATTCCCCTTCAGTAATGAACCGCGAGGCCGGAAGCGGGATGAACCTAGCTATAGGCGGACGAAAAGCTCGTGGTGTGCTCTCCGAAAATCTTCTCATAGATTTCGGTGAGTATCCGTGCATCAGCTTGAAGACTAGGGGAGATATATCGGCTCTGCAACAGAAATTTAATTGTTCGCTTAAGAAGTTTCTCAAGCACATTTCGGTCCACCAGCTCTGAGAGGCAAGACATGTAGGTAGCAGACAGCACGAGCATGTTTACCGAATTGCGCATGCGCTGTTCCAAAGATATTTGTCACGATTGGACGACCTTCGATTCCATCAAAGGCCTCTGTACTCAGGATTGCAGAGTCGATGCATACTTTGCAGGCTCGTCGTAGCTTAGGCGATAGATCACGGTATGCAATGGTGCCCGTCGAGGATCCTTGAACATAAGTGGGGGCTGTATGGGCTGCTCCGCCTATATTGCTTGACAGAAGCGCCATGTTTGAAGCCTGTTGACTGAGGGGTAACGAGGGCGAAACCTGCTCAGATTCCGAGCTAGGGAGAATAGACCCAGCGGGTGGCTCGACTGACGCGGAGGTTGAATTGGGATTGGGGAGCCCAGCAGAGTGCAGAGCATGATATAGAAGTGGGCGATGGATGATGTAACGTGCGCCGTAATATTTGGCCCGCATATGAGCAACGTTTATGTCACTCGACGGGCGATCAGTGTCTTTCCACTTCATAAATTCTGGAAGACTATTTCGCCACTGTTCGAGATTCATGCTAAGAATTTCTTGCACTCTTGTGGCCCACCGGATGTTGCTGGAGCCGTTCGTAGTTGTAGTATTACTGAAAGGATTAGCCGTGATTGCGGCGATTGCAGCGTTGACAGCGCTCGCAGAACCAGCAGCGTTAGTGGCTTTATTAGAGTCTTGGTTTCCTATAGAGGTATAATCAGTTGCCTTCCTGGTGATATAGTCTCGGGTGTCTTACTCTCCTACTTTGTACAGATCGGTGTGGACACGGTTAAGGACTTTCCGGAGGTGGATTTGGGCAGAATAGAAAAACATCATCATGGTACTGGCCGCGCCGATCTCATCTGGCAAAGCAAGTGTGAAGCGTCCTTTTGGTAGACCTATACGGGACTCTACACGAGAGATCTGGCGGGAAGATCTAGAATATCACTGTGTTGTGGGTTAGTTGGGCCCGCAGTTGCGAATATATCGAATGCCTGCCAATCACGCAGTTTTAAGCTGCTGCGGCCCCTCCAAGGCTAAGAACAGCTGGATATCTCGATTGCTCAAGAGCCTGACTTATGGTATTCATAGGGACATCACACATCACCCTTCTATGAACAATTTGTCATGCACATCCTTCATCCAAAGCTATTTCCCGGCAAATGAGACCGAGGGCTGCCGCAACACACCTCCGTTTACTTGTCACCGACTGTGGGTCAACTATGGGCTTAGTCCTGCATTAAGAGGGCAGAAACCGTCTAAAAGTTGGATCCTACCCTCACCCTTGCCAACTATCCTCCCGTCTACTTGTTTCCCGCCCAGCTCGGCACTTACTTCAGCCTCTTTAATCAATTCCTCATCATGTTTCTCACCATCGTCGAGAGTCTAGGAAATGTGGGCATTGAACTAAGTCCATTGTTGACTACAACTTCCTCGCAACCAAAACCACTGCCTTCTTCACCGGTCGCTACAACCACTATGCATCCTATAAGCAGTTTCACACATCCACTAATAAGGCCGTCTTCCACTTCAGCGATGTATATTTCATCATATGTGTCAGCATCCAAGCTTATGACTACAAAAACTATACCACCACATACAGTGGCTACATCCAGCAGGAGCTTCACCCAGATGGTCCTTGTGAAGCCTGGTGATATTCTAAAGTTCACACCTCAGACACTTGATGTTGCTGTTGGCGACACTGTCTGGTTTTATTCTTTGAATGGGTCATTTCTACTCTACAATACTACTCTCGAAGCGCCGTGCACACGCCTAGTCAGATACGGAGACGATGCCTATAAACACGTCATTTTCCAAGTGAATTCCAGAGCCATTATGGCTCATTGGTTCTCAAAATCAAGAGATATACGGCTGTCGCCCATCGTTTCACTTTGCTTTAAACCCTGGGGATCAAAAGGATGTGTTTCTCCATTCAATTGAAGAGGATTGCTCCATCGTCAGCGTCAGCCACCACAGCGACCAAAACTATCGTGGTCAACCCTACCGGAGACGTCGTTACTACCTTGGGGGTTTGAATTGGATATGAAACTATGCATTGCAGTAATGCCGGCGAGAGATGCTCGAACTTCTCTTATTCTGTTGCCTTTTTTTTTTTTTCGCTGGTATCACTACTATACTGCTGAAACATATGTCTGTCGCTGGTTGAAAATCAATCAAGGGCCTCGGCTGAATTATTTATCCGTAGCAGATCCTCATGTCACGTGCGGAGTGCGAAGGACGGTCTGGAGAGGTGAACCATAGGCCGAGATGGATCAACAGCTAGCCTATCATATGTGATACTATTTCCTTCTTCTCCAATCAAATGTCCAAATCTGAAGCCCGACATATAACGCCAGTTTTGACTTAAAAGCTCTGTACTGTTGAGCAAGCATTCTTGCAGCAGGATGTCCCGCCCTTCTTCTGGCCTTTAGATCCCAACACTCCAGGACATTCTTACCAACATCCTATTTCAATCCTTTCTTCAGCAGCGGAGCGACGTCAGTGAAGTATTAAAAAGAGATCATAGTTTAGTCTTACACTGACCTGAGTAATTTTGTATGTAGACTCAAAGCGGCATGAAAAAGGAGGGTTAGGGAGTGTCATAAGTAAGCTCAAAGGAGTCAGATATCGAGACGTCGACCAAACAACACAAAACCCCCCTAACCCCCCAACGTCAGAACTATCCACAGAGATAGCAGTTCGCGCCTCCCTTCGGAAGCGAAAGAGTGCACTCACATCACCGGAAGGAGATCCAACACCAACGCCGGAAAACAGGTGGGGAAGCAACAGAGGAGGAAGAAGAAAACGACGACATCGATGTGGGGGAAGGGACGAGGACCACGAGACCTCCCGTTCCGGCCCCAGCACGAGAAGCATGACGATGACCACGTGGCTCTCCGCAAGAGCAGAGTCCGCTCTGAACAATAGCCCAGCCCACAGTGACGGGAAGATCGAGGTCAAAGGCAGGACTGAAGGCAAAGAGGCCTACACAGGACTCAGTGACAGTTTGGCTGCACACCTGCCCCTACCTGGGATACAGCCCACGCATGAGCAACGGACCGAACCCAATCAGAATGGCTCTCTAGAGTATGTTTGAGGGCGCCAATGGTGGGATCCCCAGAGCTACCTTGTGAGACGGACAAAAGACGATTGAGTGGGTTGACCAGAGGGGTTGCGTAATAAATCCTAGAATGTTTGACGCAAATCTCGAGTAAACGAGCAGCGAGTGTCAAAAGTCAGACTGTATGAGAGGCAAAAGTTGCCATGGTCTAACTGTCTTGAGCAAACGCTGTACTTCAAACGGTAACATGCTGGCCTGTATGACGCTGCCTTAACCTCTTCGGTCTAGGTAGGAATATAGCTGGTGGCGACACTTTCCGTTTTTCGTTGATAGCTGCACGACCGAAATCAATAAACATAACGCGCTGGGCCTCCGTATTCCACAACATGTTCGCCGGTCGTTGGTCTAGATGTTCGACACCGGCCTCTTGGATCTCTGCTTTTGTGAGAGCAATGTGCTTATTGAGGTCACGACGGCCCGAAGTCTCCAAGCTAACTCCGCCGTATGCCATTAACGACATGTGGACTATGATGCGCTCAGGGCCAAGGCAATAAACATTCCGTCGCAAGTTGATATCGCCAAGGTAAACCGGAACAGCAGATCCCTGTAAGCGCCTTAACTTTCGATATACGTCACCCTCAAAGAGAGAACTGTATGTTGTGCCTTTGCCAACAAATGTATAGCCATACACTTCAAGCGTGATAGCGAAGAGAGATCCATGAAGGCCTCCTTTCCACAGAGGCATACAGCGGTTGTCTGGGTCGTCGTTTAGCTGCTTGCTGATAAGCTTAACAAACTTCAGGTGTGATATAGGATGCTGCCCATCATTTGACCGCGTTCGGTGCAAGTGTGCATTTGGACATTTGAGGTCAAGCCTTAACCCGCAAACCAGGCCACGAAGACATTTCTGTGTGCAGTACTCGCTGTTTGGGCGTCTGGTTTCATTGGGGGAACTTCCTGGAGGTTTTGAGTGCGATGTACGTTGTCGTTTCCTCCGTTCGAAACCTTCGATTGGCGAAGAAGGAAGATGTGACGGCTTGTCATGTGACTCGTCCGATGAGTCCGGAGGGTCTGTACTATTGCCAGACAGATTATTCTCATTGCAACCAGTGGGCAGTTGTCGTGCTCGTAGGAGATAAGGTGATCGAGGGTTGATAGGGTAGCGGGGCGCTCGATATATTGAGCCTGGCGGAGTCTGCTTTCTTTCCGACTCTGGGATTAATCGAAGTACGTCCTCAAAATCAACATTCCATCTATGCAGTTGATTCATGGCGTTGTTACGCCAAATCTGGCTGCGTTGAGGAAATTGACGAGCCAGAAGTGTCAAAGCGAGTCGGTTACCAGTAGCAGTAAAAGGGTATCGAAAACCAAGGCCATCATCAGTTTCAGGTTCCACATCCTGGCTAGGATTAAGCAGGCAGTAATTTAATGTTTCTGGATCTTCTTCACGAATCCAAAGCATCACCTGGCTTCTCCCATTATCCAAAACGCTCAGAGCGGTGCCACTCAGAATCATGTATTCAAACGGCTGGGCCAGGGCGGCGCATGACAATAATTCAGCATCGTATTGGAGCTTTTCCTCCGGGTCCACGGGTATAGTAACACGTCGTACAACTTCGTCCAGCATGTTCATAGGTCTCAGACCAGCTCGAAGAAAAGCGTCTGGGAGCTTATGGGCCGCTTTATATTCAATAACATAAAGCAACTCGCGACTGCCGTCTCGCGCGTAAACGCAGTTTTGATCGGCTCGGACACCGCGGGCAGAATCTGATAGACGCTGGCCTGGCTCCTCCGTGATTGTGTTGATGTGGTTCTCAAAGACTATCCCATCGCCAAGTGCAAATCTATCTCGTGCTGCAGGTATTTGAGCCAGTTGGTCGATTATTTCTTTCACGGGATTCTCAACTTCGGCCTCCTTGTGTCGGACTAGATCAGCTTCGCTGGCCAGAGGGCGAGAGCACGCCTGTTGTCCTCGATCTTCGATAACAATAAGAGGTGGGAATACCCGCATGGACGAGTCGGAGGAAGGGTGAAAGAACCGGTATACTTCGTCGAAAATAGGCTGTTGAAGGGAACGAAAGTCCCAGGGTTGAAGAAAGGTCGGACAGATACGGCCATTTGGGCTAGTGATTGAACCTTTGGTTGTCAGGGATCTGTCAGTCTGGATAGTCAGGGGTCTTGTAATAAAGCGATGACAGGCCTGAAGGTACTCTGCGAAGGTCGTCTTCCTATTTCGTTGCCTTTCTTGCTCTAGAAGAGCTCGTTCTTGCTTTAGAAGAGCCAATAGCTCTTCCTTGCTAGGTGTTCCTGCTTCCATTGATAATTCAGGTAAGTGTTACCTGGAGTGACGCATCGACCATTTCAAAGCATTTGCAATGGTCATGATTTGAGATGGTCATGACTTTGGAAAGATCCCGTGATAAGCTAACCCTTTTAGGGCATATTTTGTCCTAGAATGTTCCCCATCATTTCTAAAATTTAACCAGCACCTCACTGACAAGGATCAGCAGGAATGGAAAGGAAAATACAAAGCTTCCGGCACGCAATTTCGTGATTTTTCATTTAGCGTTTGTTTGTTCTATATGACCTGCTCTGTGTTTTTACATTCTGGTTCCATTAGTTCCAAGATTCCCCGAAAGCTGGCGCCGCATTTATGGATTGGCTAAAGCGGGATCGACACCTACCCCTAGAAGTAATTTCGACCTAGAAGTCGAGCAACCTATATCCTTTTGACCCCATTTCTTCCTCTCTAAATCTTCTCCGGGCGAAATGCCCTCAATTCCGAGAACCCACATATTCACGTACGCCAACTTTGACCTTCAAGCTCTATGCCGTCAAGCGAGCACGCTACGGCAGGGTGCTTCTTGTGCTTGTAATCGGAATCAACGTCCTGCTTCCGGAAGTTTCAACCGGGCTATCTTTATACTACTTGAAGACGGGGTCCGATGGGTCTTTAGATCGTCACATCCCAGAGACTTCATGCCAATGGAAATGGGCATGAAGCTACTGGCAAGTGAAGCTGCTACGCTCCGACTCCTCAAGGCTCATAGCGATGTTCCAGTTCCAGAAGTATATGACTGTAGGTAACATACTCTACCAGGCCACACAGTTTTCATCCTAACCTACTGTAGTGCTTCTTCCGATAATGACATCGGGATTCCGTTCATCCTTATGAGTGAAGCTCCTGGTTTGCCACTGTCAAAAGTTTGGAGACCATCTGGTTCTCCTCAACCTGATCTTACTCCTTCAGCATGAAAACGCACGTCCTACAATGCGGAATATACCTATTCCATGGAAGGAAAACTGCAGTTGTACGCTGATGTTCACGGTCAGAAGCAAGAGTAGCGTACACAGCTTGGGCAAACCAAATTCACTCGGCCAGGGACAGGTGGCGGTGGACTACACCTATCAGGCACTTTTTTTTGCTTCTCAAATCATCCGAGGAAGTCATGCTCAGATGGACCTTGGCATACTAACTGGGTTTCATACAGGTGATCCTCCAATTCATCAAGAGTAATTCCTCCAGTGGAGGCATTATTGATATATTCTCTTCTCTGGTAATCCCAAATAACCCCCCTTCTGCAAAAGATTAGACTGATAATCGATAAGACAAGGGGTATGTTAATGAAACTTACACCCATTGTGTGCAGCGACAGGGCCATTCCCAGCTCATAAGCTGCTCTGGGAGGTAAAGACAACCTTTCAGCTCTTCAATTCCGGGGCAGTCATCAGTGAGCTGAAATACAAAAGAAAATAAAAGTTTAGAAGGAGCGTCGCGAGTCCAGTAAAGTGTGTTTCCCTCAAGGTTGGCGAAGAAAACCGTACGGAGATCATTTAAGGCAATAATCCAGTGTGTTCTGCAGTTGTCGGTTGAGATGAGCAAGGCGCTGACTGAAGGTTCAAGTAGGAAAGACATCGTCAAATTATGGCGTGGGAGCAGCGGGAGTATGAGCCGATATGTTTGGTAGAACCGATATTCGTCGATCAATAAATTGAACACCGGCATAAGCATTAGCGAAGTAAAGCGACGACGATTGGTATGTATAAACCAAGCGGCAGGAGCGATGTATAGCGTCATAGAGCCTAGAATCCTAAGAGAAGTAAGTGTCAATTCCTGGAATCTAACAGCTATGAATATATAGACTACATACCAAGCAAAAAAGCAGCTTGATGACTTACCGTACCGTGTTTTCTGTAGTGACTGCTCTTTTCAGGTATGGAAGAGAAAGTGTAGAGTGAAAAGGAGGCGTCAGAGGTGGAAGCTCAATAGTACTTCCAATCAGTCTTGAGGTCCAGCAGCGACTGATGAGTTGATATTTTGCAGCAACTGCCTCCTATCCGGAGGCCTTAGAGCGTTTGGTTGCGCAGCACGCAATGGTTCTTCGATGTTTTCATGCCCACGAGAACGAAGCTGAGCACGGGCGCTCTTTGAGACTTGAAGCGTCGACAAGGTCAAGTCGAATAGAATGTAGTAGCAATTTGAAGAGCAATCCATTTGGTGTGCATCGGAGTTCCAGGGGGCCAACGAGAAATGCTTCCTTATATGTGTCATCCAGGAAACCTCTATACAGGATTCTCTTAGGGCATCAAACACGGCTATCTCTTTAAATTGCAGGCTATATAAGCCATGCTGCGAGATGCGCAGTGGAGCTCTCGAACAGTCTGGATAGGAGGTCGAGGATATATAATAGCTCGATATATGCATGGTACTAATGACATTCAATCTGCGTATCCCAATGCCCCTGTGCTTTCAATAACGTGTTTACTTGCTAACCTGGACTGCGTTTGTGTAGGATAAGCCGATAGTCAGTGCTCAGCGCTCTCAGCTTAGGCTGTCAGGTCCATTGTTTGTATGACTACTTTGGAGTACTGATTCGCGTCATCACTTGCACCTCACGCTTTCCCGCCCTCCGTCGTATGCTGTAGCCAGTTTAGATTGGATGCTTAACTGAACCTGCGATTGAAAGAAGAAGGTTTTGCCAATTCCCTCATTAGTTCATGGAACATCGTACCGTGACAGTCACATGACCATACAGACATCGAATTAGGCACGCATTGGAGCCTTGGCGTGGATGGATACCACTTTCCGAGGTCTACGAGCCTTTGAGGAAGGGACTGCTCGGCTCTATTTCCTTCGCTTATGGCTGCCACATTTTCAGCTCGCAAAAATCCTCAACTTTCGATCAACCCCTCCGGTAGCGATAACGCAGCGGATCTGGACATCGGAAAATTCTACTCCAGTTACCTTGGCCGTCGCTTTCGCGTAGTCTCCACTGGGCGGCGTCTCAGAAGAGTTCTCGTAACTGGCAGGCGCATTTTTGACAATTCCTGGGGCCCATCTCAAACATGTGATGAAGCGCTCATGAACATCCGTTAGCGTTTTGCACCTTCCTTCTTGGCTCAGGTCCCAGCATCGCAATGTCCTATCGTCCGAAACGGAGAGGAGGTATTTGCCGCCAGGATGGAAGGTTATCGCCCGCACCCAGTTATCATGGCCTATTAGTGTCTTGATGCAAGTCCCGCGAGCATCCCAAATCTTGATGGTCTTGTCTCGAGAGCCGGTTGCCATAAACTCAGCTGCACCACTTGCGAGTGGACCGTGCTTAAGTCCCGCTAAGCGTGCTAGGTACTGGTATGAGGTCGGCGGGGCAAGTGCACAGCATTCAATGACGTGCTGATGGCCATCCATTATCAGTTTGTTTTCAGGCTGGGATATAACAGAAATATTCCACAGCCGAACTGTCATGTCATCCCCCGTTGAGAGCAGAAAATTCCCATCGAATGAGGGACATACGTCTCGTACCCATCCACTATGGCCCTGTATTGTTCTCACACAATACCCCGTGGTGATATCCCATATCCTCAAACTTTTGTCCCTGCTTGCACTGGCAAGTAGGTTCGTACATGGTATGAACCGGACAGCGCTAACGCTGTGGTCATGACCCTGCAGATTTCGAATATTTTTATACCCATCCGCCGGATTCCATAACCGGATAGACAAATCAGAGCTGCAAGACGCCAGAAGGATGCCGCCTGGTGGACCACCGAAGTCAACATCCGACACTGCTCTTGTGTGACCTTTAAGGGTCTTCTCCAGCTCTCCATGTTCCCAGTCCCAGATTTTGATTGTGCAATCATCCGAACCAGAGGCAATTGAGGAGAACACCGGATGGAAAGCGATACAGTTTATGGTATTTTGGTGTGATTCTAACGAATATTGCGGAGAGGGTTTAGGAAGCCAAGAGGTGGGATCTTGGTTGCGCTTGGAAAGAGAGGAAGGCGTCATGTTGTCAAGCTCCGATTGCAATGTCGCCATTCTGGATTCGAGGTCCATTATCTGCAACAGGGGATTGTGCATTAGAATCCAGATCGTTTTATCAGGAGTTAAGATCGGTATCTCTGCTGACATGCCTTTTTCTGCAAGCGGACAACGCTCGTCCACTTTTTCTCCAACAACGTTTCATACTTGCTCATCGTAGATGTGTCAAAAACATCTTCGCTAAGTCTCAGTTCTGCCCTGAGAGAGGCAGCCGCGTTGGGTAGATTATTCGCCGACAAATACGCTATGATTGCCTTGTGTCTATACAGTGTTAGTTCAGGGTACCAGCATCCCAGTTCATACATACAGCTCGTCGGCTTGCCTATTCGTCAATAAACGACTCATGTTTGTACTGATGCCGCAGAGGACCTCCTGGAGGTCTTTCAGCGTTAGGGGGAGCGCAGTTTTCGAGACTCGAGATGGAGGACACAAAAGTGACCACAGGACAATTGTTCCGTTAAATCCCCGTTTCAAATCAGAGAAAAATATGAAACAAACGAAGCAGGATGATCAAGGACAATCGATGATTGTTATTGAAGTCAGAGTAAAATGGCGTCTGTTTTGCGACAAGCTTTAGCCCTTCCCTTGCCGTGAGAACACTAATATCGCACTCAAGAACATCAAGAACTCAAGAATTGTTGATTACGTGGAGCTCAGCGTGTCATATTTCTTGCTCAGTTTAGAGTGTGGAACGGTACTGCGCTTCGTGCTTAACACGGCATCCCTCGTGGTACCTGCCACGACTAAAAGGGGGTAAACAAAGAAACACAGCCTTGGCGAGCGGACCAGCAATAGCTGTCACGAGATCACGGTTCTGAATATTTCCGTGCCGCTCGACATCAATTTAGGTCCATATTCATGCCCCTCCTTACCCCACCAAGATTTGAATAATTACACAGTAAAGGTCTCACAATCAGTACCATATAGCCTGCGGACCATTGGATATTTGATGGTATGTTTTCTATATCAGATGCCGGCGTGGTCTGAAGTCATACTTACTGCACCTTTCAAGTTATGATCTTGAAAATCTTCAATAGTAGTGCGCAATGTCTACAGAGTCTGTTCCCCCTCCGGCTGTTCTCAGTGTAGAAAAGCCGACAACGTCCAAGACAACCAAGGCGTGGATTGAAGTTGAGAAGGAGGTCCAGGCACTGAAGACGCCCAAAGGTACACCGGCTAGAAAGTATAATCCTCCTTTCACAGATGAAAGCGCTTGCGCCGTGCTGGTGAGCGAAGTCATTGTCGACTACAAGAAGGTAAGATTCACACCACCACGTCCGGCGACATTTCGTTAACCTGGTATAGCACGCAAGAAACCTTCATGATCGACCGCAGCAGATATCTCAATGCAGGCGCGGTGGGTTGGTGTTCTTCCCTGGCACCACCCCCATCGGTACCAACTTTATGATAATCAACCCTATTTTCATCGAAGGAAAATCGACGATAGGAGGTATTGAGGTGGATACGAATCACTACTATATCGTTCTAACGGAATGCGACGTCGTGGTCAAAACGGACGGTAAATTAGTGACACTGGCGATGTCGGATATAGGGTGACAAGAGCCGCAAGGCAATTTGTGGGGAAACTAAGAGATCGTGGCTGCATATCAACTGTCTGGATAAACGTACCACATTTCTTCTAGGCCAAGGCTTAGTTATCTTCAACCACGACATCAGGCGCCGGAAGGAATATATCAAAATCCCGCATTAACTGGGCCGCATTTATCGTGTCAAACGATGCGATGTCGAAAGTCTGCATCAACTGCGCTGCATTTTGAACAGATATCAAATCAAAATCCTGCATTAATTGTGCTGCATTCACCGCGTTGAGGTTGAAAACAGGGCTGGTAGTTGGCATTTCTAGACCTTGCACTGTGTGGGGTGCGATATTCCTTTCATCCGCGAAAGATGCAAAAGAAGGTACTTGCGATTCCCCATAGAAATGAGAGTCTTGGTTTGACTGAAACATACGGGATTCGACTGGAGTATTTCCATTGCAGTGGTTGTTCGCAGAGATCGTGCCTGTAGGTATTTCAATCCGATGCGGATCAGGCGGGTTAATCATGTCCGGACACAGGCTATCTTGGGCAAGACAACGACCTGTAACAACGTTATGTGGAGTCCACAGAGAGAGATTCATCGGACAGACCATCAAGTGTTTCACAACCGTTTATTACTTTATTTTTGGCTCGTGGTAGTCCTCGGTCACCTCTCCGTATTTTGGGTCGTCGATTATCAGCCCTGGAGACGCGCTTCTTCCTATCACCACGCGTTCCGTGGTGGCTCGCTGTAAATCCTGACATAGGAATGGTTACCACAGACATTGACGCAAACGTTATAGGCTTTTGTCTGAAGCGCTTGGTAGCATCCTCTATAATGCTCTCACCGGCAAGACGTGAATGCTCGTCCACGTCGAGGCCGATGTCCTCAAAGTGGGAAATGACCGTCTCGACGTCACCTGTCTTATCCAGATATTTCTCGTATCTGCAATTGCCAGGCTATAAGTAAGTTCTGGCAGAAAAAGAAAAGGAAGAAGACAGCAAGACAACCTAAGAGGCAAATTTTAAGGGCATAGGAGCGTACTCACATATACGAAGGAACGACAAACATGTAGAATATGAAACCATAGCCTTTCTTTGAAGCATACCGGTTGTAAATATCTCCCTTAGCATAATCATCTCTCAATTCCTTCATCACGTCCTCTATTCCCAGGTCTCTTGCATTTTCATTATTTTCGCTCAGTATCAAGATTGCGCAGTGTTCCGCTACTTCTTTGGTGAAGCTCTTCCAGTTTGACTTCACAATCAGCATCCGGATGATCTCGTAGACAGCTATCGAGTGAAAAGCCGACCGTATGCTTGTGGCCGTGGTGAATCGTTGTTTCCCGTAGTATAAATCACTGAGGACGCTTTTAGAGTTCAATTCGTTATTACTCGCAGGCATCCCACAACGCCAAAAAAGAGAGCCGTCATGTTCATAGAGGCGAACAGCTTCTGAGGCAACGTCCGGGAGAGTGATTCGGGTGACATTCTGTATCCTCTGCAACGCATCTCTCTTTGTCCGTACTGCGGCGCCATCCGTGGGTGAAGCTGACCGACCAAACGCTTTGTGCAAACACTTTTTAACATCTCCCGGCAAAGAATCTCTGTTTGTAGCAAGGCATTTTGCGATCTATAGCCCATTAGCATACGACCTGGGAACTTCCACGAAAACAGACCTGCGATAAATAATCATTGACACCTATACTCCCACGACAGAGATCAAGGGCTCCCTGCCGTATTTCGAGTGATAAACCATCCTCCATGGTTAATGAGTTGAGAATTGAACGAAAGAACATGCTTGGACATTGGGAATCCTTATTCAAAGCACAGGCAATTATTGTGTTTCCAGAGATTTGAAGCAAACCCCCGCACGCTATACTCTGTCCGTCAAATAGGATCCCATATGGCACCTCATTTTACAATTACAGTTTAGCGTCAATTACGGTCTTACATGGTCCAGATTGGCCATTGATCGTCTAGTCTCCACAGGAGCTATTTGGAAATCGTACTTAATTTTAGATCAGACGAACACCTGTAGATTAAAATAAGTTTGGGGTAGTTCTACATGAACATCGCCTCTCCTTGCAGCCTGTAAGCGCTTGCTGCAGTAATTTCTTTCACCAATCGCATGACTCATTTTCTTGTGTCGCAGTCAGCTCACATATCACCAATTAAGCAGGAGCTGTGGTCAGCAACTATCTAGTATCCCGGCGGAAAAGATGGGAACAATTTTGCCGATTTCAAGGAGGCCCGACAAATCAGTACTGGTGCATTAGCGCTGAAGGCACGACGCAGAGGAGAGAGCAGCTGGTTTACGAAGCGCCATTCAGTAAGGTTCAGTATAGGCTCTTTGAGTGTTTCAGCCTCGGCTTTGTGAATATAACTGATTGGTCGGCGATAGCTTCTCGATGTCGAGGGATGGCTGGCATATGCATTGGCATTTGATAATCCAGCCAGTCACATACGTCAATCAGACAATGATCAGTAAATGTGATAACTTGACGCAAGTTCCAACTTAAGCGCTCCGTCCATATCTTGAAGGTTACAATTCGCCGATATGGAGAGGCACCAGGTATAAATATCAAGCTTTCTCTCCTTCTCGGTTGCCTTACACTTAGTCTTCCTCTCGGTGTTGTGAAAATCAGTGACTTCGAAACCTACTCGCGGCCATTTTATTTGAGAGACCTCATAACCGACCGCTATCGCGCCAGCCAACAATCAAACCAATTCAAGTAAGATCTGGAAATGTACCTCTTCAGTGATCAAGCATTGATATGTTCATAGAGTCCAACATATTCGATCAATCTTTGGCTACCGCGGTATACAGTCAAAGACTGGACTATTCCCTCAAGGACGAGAACAGCAAGGAGTAAACAGAGTAAGTACATTAACGATCATGTCTTCTATGTGATGTTCACAAGGTCTCAGCATCCTCAATCACAATGCCTGCTCAAGTCTGCGGTGACTGTGGACAAACGAAGTACAATAAGTACAGAACGACCGAGTGCTCCAAGTGTCGTGGCAGATATGGGGGTAATATCCTTACCCCTACCGCAAAAGAGTGCAACGACCCGAATTGCGATGGGGGGGTAAAGAGGAGTAACCGAGCAAAAGATTGTGATAAATGTCATGGGACAGGTAGGAAGCTTGTCCCCTGTGATCACCCAGACTGTGTCAACGGGCAGTTCCGCTACGAATGCAAGGATGACTTTCATAAATAAGGAAGGGTATACTACGCCGCCTGGAAATCATCATGTGTTGTCTTTAGTTATACTGGCCTGGCCATACCGCGTCTATTTCTCGTTTGTTGGCTTTTTGTTTGTTTTGAAGTGATCTATTTCTCATTAGTTCCAATTGAAATCTCCAACTGTCTGACGTATTATAATATTTGTTCTTCGCACAAGCGTTTCGCTTTCTCTGCCCACTGCTCCCCCAACTGCCCTCAGATTTCCCTCCTGCTTCTCTGCTCTTCCCTCCCACTTCCCTCCACGCTGCCCTTACCGCCAAATGCCAGAGTTGTACCCAACTTCTCTCCAACTTCTAATCACTATCGGGGAAGTGCGCCACCAACCACTTAAACGGTTCCCAAGGCAGCGAGGTTATTGAATGTTACTTAGACTTGTATATGACTGGTTTCCGGTAACGATATACATACTGTCACCTTATCGTCTACACCAAGATCAGTGGCACTATCCTCCTTAGCTAAATAAGATCTACCGTGTAAGCCGCTCAACTCGCCATGGGTTAGCACGGTGCGGAGACCATACGTTCTGGTTTGCACACTATAAAGTCTTTGGAGAAATGAGTTCTATTTAGTAATAGACTCGGTGCGCGGGAACTAAATCAGCCCTTACAGACTCATAACGGAGATATCAATCTAAAATTCACGAGACAATGTGACATTGGCCGCATGCATGGAACCAGAGCGCAGATTGAGATGAATCTGTGGGAATGAAGCGAAGCCCAACACATCCAAAGCATGTCTTCCGCCTCACGTGATCCTATTGAAGGGTCATGGATATAACATTGTTGGGCCAATTTATCCAGTCATCGGGCGATTTCTAGTTAGACTTGGGCGTTTGTGGCGAGACCGGTCCTGAAAATCTACCAAGGCTCTCCAGGACACTGGGCATTATTATCGTACAGATGCGAATGGCAAAAAGGGGCTCAGCTATCAAAGACGGATATCGGACATACGCAAACCATATGGCACGTACTCCTCGCCTGCCAGCGTGTGGTAGTAACATGGATTTTGCACATCTTTAACTCCCTTTGTTATGTTATTGAAACAATACTGCATTCTAAGATTTATTTTTACCTTGTTTAAAGTAGAGCCGACGGATGCTTGCTGTGGAAAGTTTAATGGTAAGTCTTGTCAATGATGTTCCATAGTTTGTTGATCTTTTATACAATAAAGATACATCTTCTGATGTAGTCCATTGGCCCCGCCTCATATTGGCACAAAATCAAGGCTGACGATTCTGTCGGCAAAATGCATCAGTGCACCTTTTGAGAAATTCAAAAGACCTATGCCAACAGCAGACTTCTAACCATCCAAGAGTAGGTTAGTTATACTCCGTAAAATTTCATTTGCTATTTTCCTTCTGTTCAAAGGACCAACCACCCACAAAATTTGTTATGACATCGGCAGGCAAATCATATACTCGTAGCTTCGCTACTTCTCTTCCTCATAAATTTAACCAGATGATGGGGAGCTTCGATCTGAGAATCTTCTTTCGTTTCGGGCACAATCTGTCGCCTAAACCCACATCATAAGACCAAGTTTCAATAAAAATATTAATACCAAGATCACGTGTCACTTGTTGAGGGGTACTGGGTGCCCCACGTTATCAATCATCAGAAGAGACAATCAACACCATGCATGCCCTCCTCCATGGAAATTTACGTGACGTCCCGAAGAGACCAGTTTACAAACGATCTCTGCCTGTAGCAATATTTCGACTCTTCCGGCAAGGTTTAGTGGGCGTCGTCATAACCCTCAACGGTTTACCGGTTTAAACCAAAGCGTAAGTAGTGAGAATCAACACCAGGCGGTCTTTGCTCACATCTATAGAGGCTCACTCTCACTATAGAATTGCCGATGCGAACCTGGAGCGCCGAGCTGGCAGTCAAGAATTTATCTACCCTTTGGCGCGAAGCTCCGAGCACTGCACATTCGAACAACGAGCATATCTTATGATGGGAGAAAATCTACAAACGCTTGATGTTACAACCATCGCAGAAGACAATGACCAGCTGAAAAGCTTGTTTCTCAATAAGGTCCGCAAAACCCGTCTTGTATTTCCAACTGCATCACATGATTGATGGCATGCTAGACAAACTATCATGGCTGTTCCTTGGAAGGTGAAAATTGGCTGTTTCCCGCTCCACATCCTGCTCTGGTGCGAGGGCCTTATGACCACATCACGGCAATAGTCATCAATATGAGTGGTGGAGCTGGTCGTGTCGATATCATGCTCGCTAACAACTATGTTGACCATTATGAGACTCAAGCACATGGACAAAAAAAAGCAATGCTGGTCTTCTTAAACCCAGGCTACTACTGTTGGTGGATGGGAAATGCTGCAGTCAAATTTATCAATCGCGACGAATGATGCAGGGCATAGAATGCGCTTCCCATCATTAGCTTGTGTATTTCTTTATAATGTCTGCGCATATTTGAAGCGGTATAAGCATCAGCGGCTGCGGTTGTGGCACATTGGGTTTGGGCAGGACTATATTGAACTGATAACCATTTCCTTCTCGGACGGATTGAAGAATGACCTCGGCGCCTGCTTCCGTAAGAGGTATGTACGAGAAGGACCCTAGAGATAATTCTGAAATGACATATTAGTCGATTGATAGATTCCATGTAAGGCGAGCCTTACCTGCCACACTAGACTCGTTCTGGGATTGGACTGGATTCTCTTCAGGCCCCTCAGTAAGCCTAATCCTTGCTGCGAAATGAGACGCACACCTACCCTCCGACCGAGGCTCTCTAGGTACCAGAACATGCTCTGGCTGCTGCGTGGAGAAAGCCTCTTGGTCTGTCCTCCTTTGAACATTCTGTTGTTCTGTAATATCGTTAACTTATACTTGTGATATACTGCACTGGACAAACCTTGGCGAAATCGCTTCTCGGGCTGTGTGTCGTGCGAATTATCCACACTGAATTCGAGATCGTGGTAGCCTAGCAGGAGTGGTCAGTAATCAAAGAGGTAGGGGAGAGGCCACTTACGTTTCTTGAACAGTCGGATATCTGGGAGGTCTGATTTCTCAACGATCGCTAACTGTATTTCCTTACGAAAGATCCAGTCTAGCGGAAGAGACAGTTTTTCTAAGTATTTAGTTGCATTCCGCACCAGGTACTCAAATTCAGTACGGTTCATTTTGGTGATGTCCAGAGGAGTATAGGACACAGCGATGAACAAAAATGTCTTGCAGTCTAAATCCCGTAATTGCTGCCATCGTGACTCCGACGTGGAGTTAGTCTTCTCTCCGCTGTACAAAGCATCGAAGAACTTGCAAATTCGGCTTTGTGCATTGGGAAGAGGGTCCTTTAGTGCAGACTTCAGTATGAGACGCCCTGTTTTCTGTAGCGCATGGTGAACAGCAACCTGTGCCGATAGTCGCGAACACCTAGCTTTCAAGATTTCAAAGGTGGGGTCGTCAAGGCTAGTCTCCCATAACTGTTCACTGACTTGATCCAACGCCTGTATCAACTGGTCGACTGTCATTTTCGAAAGGGTGGATAAATAAGTGCAGATTATAGGGAGGAAATGAAGACTTCGAAATGCCTATGCTGCCTGAGTTTTTCTTTTAGTTCACACTAATAGAAATTTTCGAGGCCGGCTGACTAGCGACATGCTACGTGTCATTTCTTGGCAAAGAGTTATTTTAATCCATCCTGACATTCGTTGAAATTTTCGAAAAACAAAAGCCGAATGAGATTTTCGGAAGACTGCTGTTTACCGAAGCTATCTGGCCTAAGTTCAACAACCAACCATCTATCTATCTATGGCATGGAGAAGGAGAACATGTTAGGGCGGGATTGTGATATATGTTGCATATGAGTCTATTAGTTGATCATGGGCTATACTCATATTGGAATGGCTAGGCACAGCAATCCAAGTTCGAGACCTCCATTGCACACGGAATAATGAAGTTTGACCTACATCAGGATAATTATTTGGAAGAGATCGCCAATCCAACATGCTCGAGCCCTCATCGCGCATCTCGCGGCCCAATGCCGTTTGGGTCGAGCAAGATCAAGACCGTCACCATCACCATGCTTCCTGCGGCGCAACCACGCGTGATGTCGAGAAAAGAAGCGATGCCTGGGAATTTAGCTGCATGCGACCAGGCATATGCGCCGAGATATGTCAGGAGAGTTATACTGGAAGATCCTCGTATAATCCAGGGTGTTCGAGGCCTCCATCGCGCATCTTTGAGCACGATCGAGATTGTCACCCACCCMATACGTCCGTTTTGTACACTATCAAGTCATTGGACAAATATGGCCTAGATAGTAATAGTCTCGCTGCGCCGGAGCTAATCAGCCTATACAGACTCGTAATCGAGATACCAAGCTATGATCCAAGAGCCAATGTGACATTGGCCCCCCAGGCGCGAAAAGCGAGCGCGCATTAAACCCAAAGTATGTGGAATAATTGACATATAAGGACGCCATGTTGCGCCCGTAGACCTCGACCCTTCTCTACTGTGAGACTCATCAGATGATGTTGTCATGGTCATCTACAGCCTGTCAAGATCTGTTATTTTTCCTGAAGTGGCCAGCTGAGCTGCTTTCAAACGTGCGACAGTGCTTGTTTCTTACATCACGAACTTCACACCGCGATTCAGAGTGGTTTGGGACGGACTTGGCTTGTTTCTCTGCGCAAGCTAAGCTAGAGGATACCATTATGGATGACCTTGAAGTATGTCTACAATTGATTATTTTCTCGCAATTGCTAAAGATGCAGTTTGTCCGAGTTTGGATCGATGATCCCGAGTTATCTCCAGACGACGCTGTCTGGCATCACAACTTAGACGATGTCGTCAAAGTCATAGTGCCTCTCCCATGCCAATATAGAAAGCTAGCAGACTTTGCTGTGGACAAGCATGGTGTCGAAAGGGTTCTCGAACGCTATGAAGCTGTGCGGTCTCTGCCGCTAGGCAGCAAAGACCCAATGGTCCTCGCTCAGAAGCCAAGAGACTTAACTCTCAAAAGACTTGAGGCCTGCAAGCAGCTACGTGACGCATACTGTGATCGTCTAGCGAAAATGGACCTCGATGACCAAGACCGCATCAGGCTTGAACGACAACTCAATGCCCAGGGCCGCGCCTGGCTTGAACGACGACTCCGATCAATAGTCGAGGTACTAGACAACCTTCAAAACAGCGTCCAGGTATGTTCCTTCTCCTGCCCGTGCGCAGAGTACTAATATTGAAGACTGTGCGAATATGGTATCCCGTTTGCCAAGGACCCCTGACGCAGGATGCCAAAGACAAGGGAATAGGAGATATGATCCTAGCAGAGGTTCAGCTGGAAGATCCTAGCAATGGGTATGCTCCAATATATCCAAGTCATCGCCCAGCTGGTGCTGTGTTAGTCGACTTGGCCGTTCTGCCGGAATACACTGCGACTGTTCGCTCCAAATATTTGCCAGTGAACTTTACTCCCTTTGGCGACGATGATCCTTTGGTCTGCTCACAGCCAGGTGAGAATATTGACCTGAAGAGAGCTCTAGCTTTCAATCAAGTCTTTTTTAGATATGATCAGGCACGGAGAATCCAACAGTCCCGGGTCCAACTTCTGGGGATTGAGAATGAGCTTATCAGCAACTGGTTTAGTAGGTGCATGAGGGAGCTTGAGGGCCGTGTTAAAGTAATCCATGGTTGTGAGGTAAGGTTGTGTCGGCCCTCAATTCAGCAAATACTAATGATACAGACCATTCGTATATGGTGTTGCAGTCACCAAGAAGATCCCATGACCAGTGTTCGATCGAAAGGCCTTCACGATGTGGTCAGAGCAGCAGTCCCTCTACAAGATCCCCACTACCGACGGGTTGCCGATGATAGGACACTCCATCCAGACGGCGCCATCCTTGTAGACCTAGCTGTCCATGAGGAGGATGTCGGCAGGGTTCTCAGCAAGTACGGAGTTATCGACTTTGTTCCCATGAGCAATGAGGATCCTGTGGTTCTCTCACAATCCAGTGATAAAATAGAAGACAAGCAGATCGCTGCTTATGAAGATATGTTGGAGAGGTATTCTCATTATCTTCGTGAAAAATGCCATCTCCTTAGCCCTATGGCCATAGTCTGGGTTGCTGAGAGGCTAGCTGGAATTGAGAATCAACTGTCGGTCCTTCGTCCAAATTGCCTAGAGGTGGGAAGTCTCCCCTGTTCCTCATTACGTATGCTAATTCTTCAGACCATACGAATTTACTGTCCGAAATACGAAACCCACCCTTGGGAGATTATCCGAAAGCTAGACCTTGGAGATATTGTCAGAGAAGCAGTCCCTCTGGAAGACCAAATGAGCCCTCAAGAGTTGGTCCAAGTCGACCTTGCCGTTGAGCCCAGCGGTGTCTCAAGGGTTCGCGGCCTCTGCCAGTTAGTTGAATTCCAGAGATTGAGTGAAGACGACCCAATAATCCAGATGCAACCGAATGGCGGCCCTCACATGAAGAAGTTCAACGGATACAATTACGTTCTTCAGCGATATAAAGAGGCTCGTTCATTGCGGCAGCTTGATGGGGCTTTGATGCTTTGGTATGAGAAAGAAATTATGGATCTTAAGAGTCACATCGAGAGACTTGGGTATTTCTAGTTTCTGGAGGGTCAGGCTACTATGCAAAGATTGAGGGGACGCAAAAGGATTTTGGCCACTATTTCATTTACCTCCTTTTTTCCTTCATTGAATATGTCTTTCTGGTCGATATTTCGCCCTCTTATAAGGGCAGCGTTGAATTCGGAGGTGTAGTTGCGAGGAATTAATCTGAACTGTGTTTCCGCGGGGTCAGCTCCTATTAGACCAGGCGCAGAGCAAACACGTCAATCGACCCTGACGTTAGAGCCTTTTGCATGGTCGCTGTCTTCTCTAATCATAGTTGCACGCTTCAGCTAATGGAGGATAGAGTCCTTCATGGACACGGCATTGTGAGCGTGTTGTCGAACCTCGGTAGAGCGGAGCGGAGATCAGTTGTTCTTTAAAGACGACATTCAGAACGTTTGGACTTTGTAGCAGAGAACTTCGGAAGTCCTCATGGACGGCAGTGTCATCCTCGCTCGGATTGTGGCTTCGAAGCCCCTTGAGTCCCTTGCTTTTACCCCTAATTTAGCTAGTACTGATTAGCCTCACCTCCAGACTTGCGATGAGCTTCTATTCCCAGCTCTCACCAGATCTATGACATTGGACACACTCTCCTACCTAGTACCTCACTTGTATATTACTTGGTTTATACTTGTTCTGGTTGCAGTGATCTGTTACTGCTTGAGGCCACTATATCTAAGGATTCGTCGAGGCTGTTGAACGAAATCTTCAAGACCCACGGTGGACTGTTTTCACAATGAATACAGTACTCAGAGGCTCGATCCAGGCTCAGCTCGTTTCAACAAGTTGTTGCAAAGCGCATTGGATCATAACCTTCAGCCAATTTGGCGAGTGCATCAATGCAGAGCTTTCTGGAAACACTGTCCGGTATACACGGGAAACTTTTGGAGAAGTCTTGGATTCGATTGAGTTCCGTATCAATGACGGAGTTCCACCAATTGACGAGATGAAAGGTCACATGTGGCTTCCAGAACAACTTATGAAGCACCAGGAATTCTGTCGCTCTGCAGAGTGGGTGTAAGGAAACTCTATGGTATCGTATCCGCATTTTGACACTTCACAGATGGGGAGTACTTTGGCTGTATACCCACATTGGCTACATCGAGGAAGGTTCTACAGCTGGGATCTCTCTTGACCAGCTATTGTAGCTGCTGGTTGACAAACAATTAGAAGCCCTAATCTATGTTGGAATGGGACGCTTACAAGTCGAAAACGACGATATGCGGGGTTGTTCGCGTACTGAAAGCGACCTGACAGGAGGCAAGATCCTTCGAGACCATTGGTGACGTGCACTGTCACCCTGAGCATTACGAAGGAAAACGGGAGCGGCTGGAAGGGGCTACTGGTCTGAGCAAAGTCTGTCTGGAAGGGGAACATTCGAGGAAGTATTTGACGGAGGCAAAAAATTGTCTGCGGACTGCGACGTATTTGGATTCCGTTGTCTAAGGTCGCTCTTTTGGGTCTCTTCAATAATGCTTAATAGCGAAAATGTGAAATACCTTGTGAGGGCTGTAGCCGGACTAGCTATTGCGAAGTATCTCACAAACTCGATCCTGCGGCGCAGACTGAAGCCCAGGATGTATCTAAAAAATATCACTCTCAGCTCACTAAGAGCTTCTTGTAGGGTGCCGTTGTTTCTATATATGCTTTGTACGCAATATCCGTTCAGCGTGCGCGTCTCCGGACTGAATTGCCACTAGACCGATAGAGTCGAGTTCTGCCTATCTGCTGTTCCGGTCTGGGATCGTGTCAAAAAGTGGATCAAAGGATTCTGGCGTCGGACGCCCCCGTGGAAATGGATCAATGTCATTATAGGATATCAGCTCTGTTAGTAAATCTGACCGCCTAACAAGCGTGGTGGTAGGAGCTGTGGTCGCTGGCAGTAGGCACGTGATCGCCATATCATTGGCTAGACATATGAGTCATCATTGGTCAGGATGCAATCAAGCACTAGCTGAATCAGGTAAAAGGATGGATGGGGCTGACTGTCTGCAATCCTACTGGCTGGCAATTTCTAAACAAAATGATACTATTTGAAACCGTCGCTGCACCATTGGACTTTAGAACCTCGGTTCAATAGGATCTATAAATCGTATCACCCAGCCCCTTCCTCCAATGTCTTGTTGTAAACTTCCTCCTTCGTCTACCTCGAAATGTCGAGCACCACTTCAGCGAATGTGAATGGAAACCGGGCTACGCACAAAACTGCGGGAAGGAAACGAAGAAGAGTCCAAAGTGGCCTACCTGCCAGCGACTATGAGCCACTTGTTGTTGTAAGTCAATCCTACAAGTCTCAGTTCAATGTTGACATGAATGAAAACATAAAGAACGGAGAAGGGACAATCGAAGATCACGCGCTTTGCGACTACGTTATGAACAGGAATCGTGAGGAACTGGAAAGTCTCAGGAGCAAGCTTGCTGCATGCCGCAGAGAGTATCTCGAGCTTGAGGAAAGATATGAGAAGCTCAGCGACGAGCACGGCCAATGCCCTTACTGGCTACAAAGAAGAGAGGACCAGGCTATGACCGCCATGGAGAAACTGGAAGAGATCACACAAGAACTCGAGGAAGCTGAAAATGGACGATGCATGTGCAAAAATGATTGAGAGCCTAATATCTGATATATCTAGAATCTATCAATACAACGGGGTTTTCAAGACACCATGATCTCTACAGGCCCAAATATGTTCACATTTATCCAAGGCAAGAAGTATTTGTACCGCTGGTACAAAGCTGATTGTTAGGGAGCAATCTGGTGGAGCGAGAAGGAAGGTTCCAATCAGCAATATCTACTTTGAGAAAGAGGGGTCTCAACTATTCACCGAGCTGCAATAGACCCCATCTACATAAATGTTGACCTGCCCGTCATGATTTCAAGCAAATGTTCGAACGTATACAGAGACAGCCGTCCATTAAAGAGGACAATGTTGGTGTCAGTGTGCATCATCAAGAGTAGGTTAGGAAATTTAGTATTAGACGGCGCTCCAAAATCAAAATGTGTCATATAGGATCGGAGAGTTGACTATCACGTGCGACTGCCATCTTGAGAAGCGTTGGATGCTTTGTCCTATTGTCCTATTCAGCAATCCCGCTCAATCCTTCTGATTATCTCCTGAAGTTCCATGGGACGGATATGGGGTCAGTTGGGTTTAGCAAGGCGACTTCGTTGATTCCACGCCTTTACCTTCAGAACCCCAAAGACGCTCCACCAAGGTGTTATAATTGCTTTATTATTGGACGTCCTGGTACTTGGCCAATCTCTCGTTCTGGATTGACTTGTAGCCAATATTTGGGCGCTATCGATTTTTGTGGTGGTCACTAATCTGCTTCGGGAAATCGTGGCGTAGTAATAAAAATAATCAAACAAAGGAACACCAAAAGTCATATTTCACGTCGCAGCTAGGCATATTTCTAACTGGAAATTCATATATGTGATCATCATCGCAAGCTTAAAGCCGGATCCACCTAAAACCGTGCATCGACCCATTTACATACCATCAGAGGAAAGTTAGCTTGTTCCAATAAAAACTTTCATGGGCTGGATGTGGAAGACAGACGTGCTGAGACAAATGAGCTCTTGCCGGATCCCAATTGATTTCCTGCTAAATGCGCAAGGCGACAAGCGGCTTGGTGCTCCTACTGAGCACCCACGATCGCGCGTGGATTCACGCCTTTCGCCACCCGATCCAGGCTCAGAGTGAGTAATATACATCTATGACCCCACCAGATTTTATAACATCCGCTTATTTGGCAGGTATCACCAAGAACTCTCGGCGAAATACTCACCGCCAGCCAGCAATGCTACGGAAAAGCCAATCAATGAGCGTCCAGATGCCAACAGCTATGTTTGCCCGCTTAACGCTTGTGGACTTCGATTCTCCAGTTCGAGGCTTCTCTCAAGTCACTACAGGAAGGCCCATTTGGTGACAGACTGCTGCTCTTAAGAATCACTTCGAGAAGCCCTGATGTTGCCCCGCCGCTTCCCCCTTAGAGGAAAATCCAACAAATAGACTAATACCCGCAAGAAAGTAATGCAAGCAGTGGTCACTGTTCAGCAACATTTCATCACCCACCACTTAAGCGAGATCATTAATTTGTAAATACAGGAAAATGGTTCATGATGATTTGTTGGCAAATCTTCCAGGCTCTTTCAGAAACGACGCGCGTAATGTGTGTTATCTCTTAATTATGTTCTTTTTATATGTGCGTCTAACGAGTGATGCCCTTCTATCTTTCTTAGCCCTGAAGGGTGCATGATGCCAGGTAACTACGGTTGCAGCTTTTGTGATCCCGCAGCGGTAGCCCACAGCTACGCATCCAGATCCTAGTGGTCGAACTGGTCATAACCCTCAGCGCTGAGGAATCTACTAGATAGTACTACCACCACAGCCTCCTTCGGCCGCAGCGGGATCATGATTGGATACCCAGAACACCGTTACAACTGGTAGCTGTCAAGATCCTAATCTGACTCTTGGCCCAGTGTTGAGCTGAATGAAGACCTTCCCCTCTCCCTCAGTAACCGTGCTGTGAGAGCAAGGCACGTGAAAGGGACACTGGTCCCTTGGACTTTGCAGACATCGGTCGAAAGCCACCCTTAGTGTAAAATCGAATGCAATGCACTCTTGGGCCAGGTAGGAGTATCTTCTTTGAACAATCATCCAATCTGCGCTTATTTTTCTCTCCGTTTGGCTAGAACTCTATCTGCCTGGTCCCGTAACCTGAATATATGCTTCCACTCCATTTTATGAGTCTTTTGATCCTGCCAGTTTATAATACAGGATCGAGCAAAGCCAAATGCGCCCGCCCAATAGTCGCATCGCAACCAGCCTTTCCGGACGGCACATGTTAACTAGGAGTTGATCTTGAGGATACTCTCGACGATTCTTAGGATTACTGCATCCATCGGTCAGTAGGTCTTATGGAGAGGGCTCAACTGGAGGGTTGTACCTTAAGGCAGCTGGCATTTAATCGGATGTCTAATCATTCAGTGTAATTGATTTTACCACCGACTCGACTGTCCGATGATTGCACGGCATCAGCTCCACGACACGTTTTGGATCCTGAAGGCATTCAAAATCCTCATCTCTGAAAATTCGCAATGGAACTTTGTAGGCACGACTGTCACCCTCATCCAAGGCGATCTGGTGAGCGGTGTACGCATTGAAGCATTTTAACATGTCGTATACGACGGGCACGTTCTTTGACCAAGCCGTATCGACCGGATTCGAACTCCGCTGGTCTTCCAGAGTCATCTCCTCTGCCCACATGCGCAGCTTCCCGTGAAGACATATCTCAATAGAATTCTTCGTCACCACAGACACTCTCAGTTCCTTGACGGTGGTCAAATACGTTAGAGCAGCCCTCAGTACCACCTCAGGTTTTCCTGATGCTGCACATATTTTAATACAGTCCTTGAGGGATATAAAGCGTTCTAGACTGAGGCAGCTGATGCACCCCCCGGGGCTGCTGAAGTGTCTCCTCGTTATCTTTATTGGCGCCATCCCTTCCCTGTCGGGTGTACGCACGGAATGGTGAGCAGCGGTCTTGGATCAAACTCGGTGGTGACGTGAGCGAAAGGCGTCGTTATCAACTCGTGGCCTAAGGCTTATATATCCGATGATATTCCGACCCCTTCATTCTCATCCTTGCCGATCCATTCTATTTCCACTGCGCAAGAAGGGCCAGACAGGGATAAAATGTGTTAGATGTCTCGTTCCCCCGTCGTACGATGCAGTTATACTACTCCTTGGAATGTACCCATACGGGATCCGGTCAAACCAAACGGTACTTTTTCCCCTTGCTGATAACTACCTTAGTTCGGATGGTAGTGCTCTGATGCTAGTTTCACTAAGACACGTCGATGACTATCAAGCGTGATGCCTGGAAATGTCAAATAAACGATACACAATACGCCCTTGATCAAAGACGAGGCAGCTTAATGAGACAAGAGTAACATGGAATGTGTGCGCCTTGCTGGGCAGAGTTGCAATAACAGGTTATAGAGATGAATACCACAGTATGAAAGAATGCCGCGAGGTTGTTGCGCCGGGACCTGCTGGGTTTTGTGAGTCTGACGCGACATGCCTCCTGTTGAATTAGATTACCGCTTACCGAATGGAGAAATTCGGCCATTCCTTCGATAAACCTTCCAGTATAGGTGATTCGGCCAAGATGATCATGCATACACCAGAAATCTATGGAATCATGATTACAAATTCGATATCACTGATGCAGGAGCATTTTCGAATCTGAATACCTTCATTTTCCAGGCTATAAATATGGCCTAGATAGTCATTCGTTGAAGAGAATCAGACCTTCATTTGATTTCGATCTCTCATACAAATTCTTAGTCATCCGAAAACATTACTAGCGTAGACGAATTCAAAAGTTATGAGCCCGGCCTGCCCTTAGGAGACGTTCGGGAATCGATTGAGGCTATTCCCCCGGTTTGGCAACTAGATATTGGATTGAGAGATATCTCAGGGAATTGGACGAGATCTCTCACTGGATTGCTTGCCTAATCGGGAAGAATTGAGGCCATATCGACGCCGCCGTCACCCATAGAAGCCAACATGGACTACTACGCTGAACCGATGCCTTCCACATCCACCACGAAGGTCTCCATCTCGCTTAACACGCCAGATGATTGGTGGAGATGGAATTCTCACATTCTTGGATTAGCGCGAGCCAATAGAGTATTGGATATCTTGCTGAAGAAGGAACCTCGGCCAGTTGAGCCGATCCATCCAGACGATTTCGATTCTGGATTGACCAATCAGAGAGCTGCTCCAGCCGAACGAGCAGCAGAATCKGAAGACGATCGATCTCGTAGCGATGAGGCGACAATGAATCAAGCCAACCAGCAACCGCAAACGAATCAGCAGCCGCAAGCGAACCAATCAGCTGCCACCGATCTCGATCCGGAAACCTTACGCCAACGTCGAGTGAGCCGCTGGCAGCGCGAACATACCAAATGGAAGGAAGCGGAGAGAGGTCTCGCGGCTATCTGGCTAGCCATTGAGCAAACGGTAGCGACTAAGTATCTTCGTCGGTTAACCCGCCAATCAGATACCGAGATTGAGAAGTACTGGAAGTTGAAGAACAAGCTGGAACCGAAGGAGGAAGATCAAATCTCGCTTATCACGGATAGATATAACCAACTCATCTTGAAGCCAGCCAATCAGAACGTCGATAGATGGCTAGGCGAATGGGAAGACGTCATTAGCGAGTGTGATCGGCTCGGAATGACCAATTTCACTGGCGAAGTTGGAACCCGAAACTTTCTYAAAGCGTTGAGGCATTTGGATAGTATGTATGCCGAGATAAGATTGAACGAGCTGAAGAGGGATAKATCACTGGATGTATTCGATGAGATCCATGATTATCGAAAACGCTGGCAATCCCTAAGCCCAAAGGAACGAAAAGGGGTATTCGCTACATTCAAAGGACAATCCTCAGATCAACCGAATTCTGATTCGACCAATCAGAATCATGGAAGCGAACGGCCTAAGCGAGCCCGAGATGACTGCCCTTGCGGAGAAAAGCATCTGTTTGATAGTTGCCCCTATCTAATCGAATCAAAACGGCCGAATGGATGGAAGCCGAATCCAGATATCRAAGCCAAATTYGAACGGCTTAAGCAATCGAATCCGAAACTGCGTCAAGCAATGGAATCAGCGATTAAGCGAGCCAATCAGAAGCAAGATAAGAAGCCAGAACGTACGGCAATGAGCATCATTCGCCAAGATCCAATARTATTCTCCCTAGGCAGCAATACTAACGTATATGAGCTGCGAGATAGTTGGATCGTCGATTCGGGAGCAGATATCAATATCTGCAACTCACGAACTCGGTTTCTCACCTACGAACCGGTGGAAGATGAGTATGCGCGTTTCGGGACGACTGACGTTCAAATCCTCGGCTATGGAAAGGTCGAACTGCAAGCAACTGGAATGAACGGGAACCTCCATATATTGGAACTYGGGAGAGTGGCTTACATACCGGAATGCCATACAAACTTGCTCTCAACCTTTCAAATGATGAATCACGGGTATTATTTGAATCAACGGAAACACGTCCTGGAAGATCGAAACGGAAGACCGATCTGCCGCACGGAGATGAGATGTAATCTGGAAGTCGTCGAATATAATCCAATTCCAAATATCTTCGCTATGAATAGATATTCCGAGAAACCTCACGAATCGGCCGAAACGAGCGAACGATGGCACCAACGGCTTGCACACCTCGGAGATGAGGCCTTACAGCATTTAGAAGAGGCTACTATTGGTGCAAAGGTGCTCAGCTGCAAGAGATCGGTCTGCGAGACGTGCAGACTAGCGAAGGCCTATAAGCAGATATCCCGGACACCTAGAGAGAAGTCGAACAGGCCATTCGAAACGGTTCACTTCGATCTAATTCCAATGACAATTGCACACAACGGTGATCGATGGATTTGTCACTTTATATGCGAATCGACAGGGTGGCATGTAATCTACACCCATTCGGATAAGAATCAGTTGAACGATCTAATCAGGCAATTCATCGAATGGGTGAGCACGCAATTTGGCCTCAAGCCTAAGAGAATGTTCTCTGACCGAGAGCCAACACTTGGAGGAGAGTATGTACGAGATATGAAGGGTAAAGGAATCGATATCCTTCATTCAACGAGATACGCCGATGAGCAGAAAGGCTTAATTGAACGAGCCGGACGGACGATAATTGAAATGGCTCGTAGTATGAGAATAGCTGCAAGATTGCCTGAGCAGCTATGGCCGCATATCTTCCGCGCGGCCGTTTACCTTTATAATCGTCGCCCTCGGAGAGAAACAGAAGAAGATGAGGAAGGGAAGAAGAAATGGATCTGGATTACACCATATGAGAAGCTTTACGGAAAGAAGCCTTCTCTACCGAATCTGCGTGTATACGGCTGCAGAGCGTACGTTAGGCACCATAAGATTCCGAGGTCAAAGAAGCTGGATTCGCGAGCCTGGGTAGGCTATCTGGTTGGATTCACGGCCTCCAATATATGGAAGATATGGAATCCAGTGAACGGAAAGATCACAGACGAGAGAGAYGTGACATTTGACKAAGATATTGTATTTGATCCATTCAATCCATTCCACGCAGAAGCAATTAAGATATCCAATCTGCCTGAGTTGCCAGTCGAATTAAACGAGATTCCAGATATCCAAATCGGGCAGGTGGAAGGTATGGAGTATGAGGGGGAGTTGGATGAGGTTGAAGCTCGGGGGGTGAGAATGGTGAATGATGAGGTTAGCGAGGTCCCGAATACGGAAGGCGGTGTTCTGAATGAGGCAAGCGGTCAAGCTGTTGCGCCGGCAGAATCAACGAAAGAGAACCCCGCACCTCCATCTCCCGACTCTACGCCTGAACGATCCAACCAACGCAACGACATTCCAATCGAATCTACTGAGAGAGATATTGATTTGACGCCTCGCCCGGCGCCTAGATCTCAATATGAGGTCCCTGGAGGCTGGACCGATAGCCCACAGGGAGATATACGACTTAATCCACTCAATTTGATGACTCCGAGATCTCCAACGAAAATCATCGATTCGCCAGAGCCAGAGACGCCCGTACGGCTTACTGACACCYTTCMGGAATCACCAACACAATTAGATTTGGATGCAGACAGAGGAGAAGAGATCGGTGAAGATTCACCGTCAAAACAGCTCTGGAGCGAGGTCAATCGCTTGAGTATTGATCCCGAAAACAATCCAAACGAATCCAACGACGTCGACGAGATCCCTAGACGCCCAAAACATAACATAAGTGCTGATTTTTCTGAGGAGAACATCATTATAGGAAAAAGACAACGTCGGGCACCTCGCGGATACGATTTTATGGTTACAACCTGGGTAGATGGATTGAAACGATTCCATTCAGTATTCGCTGCGTTTGGATTAGGCCTGCCAGATGAGGCCTCCAAGAAGGGAGCAAACGCACCTACGAAACGGCTTCATCGAAATGAAATACCTCCTCCCCCGAACAACTGGAAAGAGATGCAACGGCATCCATTGAAAGAACTCTTTCAAGCCGCTGCAGAGTTGGAACACAGTACATTAGTRGCTCGAGAGACTTTYARGAAGGTCAGAAYGCCTACTGGCAAGAAGATCATTCCATTGAAATGGGTTTTTACATACAAATTTGATCAAGAAGGMTATTTGATCAAGGCTAAGGCCAGAATCTGCGTACGAGGYGATCTGCAAGAGATGACGCGCGAAGATACGGCGGCAGCTACCCTGGCAGCAAGAACGTTTCGAACCTTAATGGCTATTGCTGCCGCGTTTGATCTAGATATCCGGCAAATTGACGCTGTTAACGCGTTCGTCAATAGCAAGCTAGACGAGGAAGTGTACACCTGGATGGCAGATGGATTCTCCGAATCTGGTTACGTTTACCAGTTAAAACGAGCTCTTTATGGCCTGCGGAGGTCACCCCGCCTCTGGCAGAAGGAGATTTCAAAAGCCCTAGACGAATTCGGCTTGCGAAGAATCGATTCGGACTCCTGCCTTTACACGAACGATAAGCTGGTGATCTTGGTGTTYGTGGATGACATACTAATTCTATACCGCCGCGAAAGCAAGAGGCATGCAGATGATTTGATTCGCAAACTGCAAGGACGCTACGAATTCCGTGATCTAGGCGAGGGAGACACCTTCCTGAATATCCAAATCACCAGGGATCGAGCGAAACGGAAGCTTTGGCTGAGCCAACGTGGATATATCGAGAAGATCGTGACTAGATATCATCTTGATTCGACCAATAGGAAGCCTCATACGCCTGCAACGAACGATCTACGGCCATATGACGGAAAGGCAACTATTGACGAGATACACCATTACCAATCCAAGATTGGATCGATTCTCTACGCAGCAGTGATCACTCGCTTAGATATTGCTAAGATAACGTCCGATCTATCGAGATATCTATTGAATCCGGGACCCRCCCATTTTGACGCAGCCAATCGGGTGCTCTTATATCTCAACGCTACGAAAGATTATGCATTGGAATACGGAGGCGATCTAACAGGGAATATCTTTATCGTCGCCAGTGACGCTGCCTACGCGGACCAATTGGATCGTAGCAGCAGTGAAGGATATCTTGTGAAGCTATTCGGCGCAGCAGTTGATTGGCGAGCCGGCAAGCAGCGAACGGTGACTACGTCTACTACCGAAGCCGAATTGCTWGCTATCTCGGAGGCCGCAAAGAACGTATTCTGGTGGAAGCGACTATTCTTGGATATTGGATTCGATCCGGAGCATGAGATATCAATCTTATGTGATAATCGGCAAACCGTCGGATTGCTACGAAGCGAAGAGCCTGTCATCCGAACGAAGCTTCGGCATGTTGATATACACCAGCACTGGCTACGGCAAGAAGTCCAATCGGGCCGAATATCAGTCAATTGGATCGAGACGGCCAACATGCCTGCCGACGGCCTCACGAAGAATCTTCCCCGGAATAAGCATATGGAATTCTGCAAGATGGTAGGCCTCGTCGACCAATCAGGAGGCAGAGATTAGGAGCTTCAACCTCATTCTAATCTCACGATTCAACTCAATCGATCAATTGGATGGATATGGTTTCAACAGCTATGGAATTGACGTCGGATACAGCTTCGCCTAACGGCTTAGCTGGGGGGGTGTGTTGAATTAGATTACCGCTTACCGAATGGAGAAATTCGGCCATTCCTTCGATAAACCTTCCAGTATAGGTGATTCGGCCAAGATGATCATGCATACACCAGAAATCTATGGAATCATGATTACAAATTCGATATCACTGATGCAGGAGCATTTTCGAATCTGAATACCTTCATTTTCCAGGCTATAAATATGGCCTAGATAGTCATTCGTTGAAGAGAATCAGACCTTCATTTGATTTCGATCTCACATACAAATTCTTAGTCATCCGAAAACATTACTAGCGTAGACGAATTCAAAACCTCCACTGCGCCTGGACTAGCCCCAGCTTATTCATTACCGCTTTCTAGCTCTGGGGCGCTCAACGGCTAATTGTGGCTGTGCAATGCTGGCAAGGCAGAACCCATGCCACCGCTTTGCGGGCTGCGGTCGAACTGAGGGCGCTAGGCTTTAGTCTTCCGCAGCATGACCCCACTCGAGATGACCTTGACCAGTAGTACACGAACATCGTCTTGATCCCGCATTCCTTCGGGTAGGTTGTGCGTGGAGCTATGGCACCCCATCCGTTGTGGAGCAACTCCACCGTGTCCACATCCCGGCAAGTCGACAATCGTTAGGTGCGACCGATCTGGGCCGGAAATCTCCACAGTTTTGCTAGCCGATTCTTCGACACCTCCAATAGCCTTCAACAACGCCGCGCGTCGATAGAAGCACATGCCCAGCACCAACTCCATGAAAAGCAGCGAGAGCTGGACAGAAAATCGTCCGAGTACCGGGCTCTTCTCACTAGAGCTAAAGGTTTGGAGCACCAGTGGTCGCTTGACCGCAATGGTAGGCCATACCATGGCCGGGCATGCCAAGCGTGCGCTTTCGAAAAACAAGCCCAATCGATGCGCATCGAGATATATGAATGGCCACTTCCAGCAAAGGATCATCTTATTAAAACCGTCGTCTTCGAGCTTGCCTGCCCTGAGTGGTTCAAGTCGTGGAGAGATGTGACATGGAGGCTCATTCATGATTTTGGTCGAACGTGCACAAAACAAGCGTCGAATATGGAACTCAACCTTTTGAACTACAAAGAAACCAGCAAGTTTGCAGTGAAGTGGGGCCAGCGTTTGACCCTTGGCTCGGAAACAAAGTCTTGGAAGAAGACTCATTACAACAGCTGCAAGTTTCCAGTTCACTTCAGCGATGTGTCGCGACCCAGTGCATTCCAATTTAGACTCCTTGACAGTGGGACCAATTCGTGGGTGGAGGGCCAGGACGAACGTCCCACCTTAAAGAAACGGTGTACCTTTGTGCTCCCGAAAGGTCCATATTGCCACCTGCAATACGCCGTGGATACTTTTCGGCATACGGAAAACGAGATACTTGCGGATCAGGAGAACTGCCACCATAAAGTCAGCCTTCACGAATTCATCGCCTTTGGGTGCCTTCGTGCGGGTGAGCGTGTTCAGTGGCACAACATGATTCGGGAACTCGCATCCACAGCCCTCTCCTTCAACGAAGAGTCGATTAGTGTGCTCTTCCGCCAGGCCGCCTGGGAGATGGGTACACCTGAACCTGGGAATTATCTACGCAAGGCCCATCGGGAACTGCAGCCGTTCCTCGACCAGCTTTTGGAAACCTTGGAGCAGAGGCTCGACTCCATCGAGACGAATTGGAACCAGCACCAAACTTTGCACATTCTGGTAATCCTAAGCCTTCGGGCTCTTAGTATCTCCGATGATCCTGCCACTACCGAAAGGGCGCTGCGGTTTTTACGACGGAGTAGAAAAATTGCGGTGGAATGGTGCGATGAGTTGACCCTGGCCCTTGGTGGTCCAACGGGAGGACAGAGCGATGTACAACAGGCGTTGATTGTCAGAGTTGGAGGGATCTGCCAACTTACGTACTGGGTGGAGCCTAAGCATGTGCATGCAGTATTACAAAGCCGAGATGACCTTTACCATCTCACGCGCTCTTCGATTATGGTGTTCGAGAACTCACCACAGAATTGGGAAGGAGCTCCGACGGATGCCAAATCGACCCTGGTCCGCGCTGCAACGGTCTTGCACAGCTTGGAACAGCATACGCGTCAGCTGATCACCGAAGACGCCTCCGGTCTGGTTGATGCAATTCGAAAGAGTGCACCTAATTCGGAATTTGAAGCCGCATGGGAGTTCTGTCCTGGGAATGCGGCACGCTGGGCAACTAACCAATCCGTTACAGCTCTGATTGGACGATGCCAGACTGTGCATTATAATCTTCTCAGCGGGGAGCTACTCATCGACTGTGCACCTCCTGGCCGTCTCCCAAAGGAATACACGGAGAGCCCTCTGTTCAAAAGGATCTTTGGATCGGTGAGTATCCTGCCCCCTCCCCTTACGCCCGTAAGTGGCTGACAATCGCGCAGTCGACAATTACTGTGGTCCCCTCAAACCTTCCAGGGTCGGTCTTCATGTCTTCACGACGGTTTGGAGACTACCAAGTAAGAAGCCTCACAAGGAAACGAAACTGGAACTGACTTTAATCCGCAGGTACACTTCAGCATGCACGACAATGAGCTCATTATCAAAGCACACAATAACAGTGGCGTTCTACGGCTTGTTCCCCATGACAAGCTCCAAGAGGATTTTCCCGATGCCTTCATCTCCGACTGCGTGCATTGGCTGGATGAGAACTGCACTCTGGAATTTCGTACGCTCCGACAAATTTGGGAACCATGTTCGCGTAACTGGCGCCTGTCCTTTTGTCTCAGCACAGGGCAAGGTGTCATGACACAGGGCCATAGAACGTTGGTCGACATTCATGGCCAATTATTTCAACAGTTGGCAAAAGTCCTAGGATTGTTGGACGAGCCTCGGTATATGAACGTGGTTGCCGATCAAGGCACTGTGGAAATAGAATTGGTGCGGCTGCGGCTGAGGTTTTTCCTTAATGCGGACGGTTCGCTGGAATCTCGCGAGCTCATTGCAACCGTTGACAAGGACCAGGACATCGGATGCTTCTACGGGCTAGAAAGCAAGGTGGTCCTACGGAGCTTGAGCGAGCGCCAGTCCCGATCTGTTCTAATACCTTATGGCCACGCGAAACTGTCGACGAGACCGCAGCATACTCGCGTGTCCGTCCGCCCACCACATGGGTCCCGCAACCAATACTTCCGTTACACGCTTGATACCCATCTGCAGATGCTTCGAGGCCCTCATGACATGCTCAGTACCTTATACCAAGCGTACTTGCACGCGCTGACCGGGTTTGTCCTGCCTGACCCTGCGACGAGGAGGCCCGGAACGGACGAAGCCCTCCGAATATTGCGACAGGAATGGCTGAGGACTCCATTTCCTCTAGACGCGGGGTGTGTCCATCTTTTACGGCGGGTCGCCTCGCTCACACCCGAGCGCCGCTATTATCCCAAACATTTGAAATCCATGCAGACAGTATCCTGGAACGGCGAACTTGGCCAGATGGCTCAAGCTGACGATTTCAGATTCCTTGTCCAGGAAATTGTGGACCATGCAAACAGGTTTACCCGCCTTTATAGTATCCACGACGATGAGATACAGGCAGCGAAGAAGTGCTACCGCGACCGCGGCGACCAGTACCTGCTAGATAGAGCTCGTTCGCGCAACACACACTTCCGGCGCTCGGAGGCCGATGCCAGACAGGCGTGTCCAACGCCAGATACTTCACCATACGAGGCCCGTGACCGGGGCCTACAGAGTGACCGTAGCCGTCGGGTATATACAATAGCTGCGCTAGTCCGCAACTGGCCATCATCCTCGCCGCCCGGCCAGGACATCCTTGAGACCATCAAACAATGGCAATACGTGTGCACATCAGGCCGGTCCCTCGAGGACTACACGTGCACCGAGCTCTTGCATTTATCGCTTGGAGACGCATGGGGTACTCTGTACGAGAAGTGTGGGTCTAGCGACCGAACTCAGGACTCGTACAGCCTCATGTCTCTCTTCAGTATGATTGTGTTCGGCGGCAGGACTCAACTAACGCAGGTTAAGCCATTTTTAGCTGTTGCCTTTACCGGGGCGTTTAAGGACCTTCCGGTACCCAGCCACTGCCATGCGCGAACTTTGGAACTGCGTCGCGGTGCCGACTTTGTTCGTTCGGAAATCGAGGAGGCAATCGAGGCGAGTTACACGCCCTTCCGAAGACCTACAGTAATGCTTGGATGCAAGGCAACCGCGGCAACTATACTGGAAGACGAGCGGGTATATTATCGACAAAAAGAGAAGTATGTCCATGAGTGTGTGGATGCCATAGCCAAACAATGGCCCTGCCAGAAGCCCAGGCTTCCAGACATCCCACTTGTCGCGAAGATTCAAGCGTCCTTGGACTGTGAACGACTCTGCACGCGTTGGGCCCAGAATCGGGAGTTCCTTGACTTCGTCCAGCAAGTGCAGGACCGACTGAACACGGAGAAGATGGAGGACTTCACGGAGAACCACTTCCCTTTGCCTCCCAAGCGCGTGACCATTCCGACAATTCGCGCTTTTCAACCGCCAGATATCTTTGACCTGGTCCGGCTGTCTGAGCCAATCACACCCCCTAAAACAGCCCCACCAGTCAGATTCCCGCGATACTGCGCACCGCAGTGGTACAACTCAAACACAGAGCTGGAGTCCTTGATCCTCGAACTCTACAATGACAGATCGGACCCATACCGTCGGGAGCTTGGGGAAAATCTTCTTGATAGCGTTGAAGCTCTCGCAAAAGCCGAACTTCCTTGCTCCTGTGCGGTGCCGGATGTCAGACCCGTCCTAGTCCAATACCAAAGGCGTTTACAAGGTCAACGAGACACTCTCTGGGCCGATATATATGCCACCTTAGTAGAAACAAAGGAGCACTGGCAGACAATCGCTGGCCATATTGTGTGGCCGCAGGTCACTATCTACGCGGTCGTATCCTTGCTCGCGGTAGACCGATGGGAACGCGTACCACCCGCGTGGAGGGCTGCTCTGTTGGTGCTAGCGGGGATCATCTCGTCCTTGCGCCGGTGCGAACGTCTTCTGGCATATTACGATCAGAAGGATGCCAACAACTTTTTTAAAGAAGCTGAAAATGGACCTGGCGATGGCTGGGATATAGCAGCGAATCCAGACTGGCTTCTTTTTGAGATCGAAAATGATCTTACGATTCGCCAACCGCAAGCAGTCGTCGCGGCCGAAGAAACTAACCCCGATCCCCCTGGAAATGCGGTATACCAACTGAACATGGGCGAGGGGAAGACAACCATTATAACCCCGCTCGTGGTGATGAAGCTTACTCGGAATGGTGCGCTACCACAAGTCATCGTGTTGAAGCCACTGCTGCGACAAAGTGTACACCTTCTCTCACGTCTTGGTGGTATGCTGAATCGGCGAATATACCACATTCCTTTTTCGAGAGACACGACGATAGACCAGAATCTCGTTAGAGAACTGGAAGACATCTATAGTGAATGCCAAGCTCGTCGAGGAATTCTGATTGCGCTCCCCGAGCACCTCTTGTCTTTTCGTCTGATAGGGCAAGACCTTGCAAGCAGAGGCTCGGATATAGCCGAGCGAGTGATCAAATTAGCCGCTTGGCTGCAGGATAACTGCCGAAATATCATTGATGAAAGCGACGAAGTCCTTGATCCGAAGTTCCAGCTCGTATATACGGTCGGTCATCAGCGGACCATGGATGGGCATAGTGACCGGTGGGAAGTTGCACAGGCGCTGCTCACGCTCCTGGAGAATGAGGCGCTGGAGCTACAGAGGGAAGACCCAACCTGCCTTGATGTCGAACAACGCGGCGGCCGTTACCCAATATTCCACTTTTTGAAGGTTGGTTCGTTGGACAGTCTCATAAAGAAAGTGTTGGTGGTCATCGAGAAAGGTGGCCTGCCCAGTGTCCCTTTCAATCAGTGGACCAGGCAAGTCCGTCGAAGTGCTTTGCACTTTATCCGTTTTACTGGGAGCGTTTTCCGCGATGAAAACGTCGTCCGCGAAGCATTCGAAGGAGACCTCTATCTGCGCAAACTGCTGATCCTGCGCGGATTGCTCGCTCTCGGGATCTTAAAATTCGCAGTCGGAGGAAAGCGGTGGTTAGTAGATTATGGCCTTCACCCTTCCCGCTGTTTGATGGCCGTCCCATTTCGTGCCAAGGGTGTCCCGTCCGAGAATGCTGAGTTCGGTCATCCGGACGTGGCGATCGTCCTAACGTGTCTTAGCTACTACTATCATGGCCTCTCCCAAGACCAGGTGCGACAATGTTTCAAGCTGTTGGCGAAAGAGAACGATCCTGCAGCGGAGTATCAGCTCTGGATTACGAGAGGACATTCTTCTCTTCCCAGAGGACTGCGAGACATAACTGGAGTAAATCTTGAGGACGCTCGAGCGTTCCGAGAGGTTCTTTATCCCCATCTGCAGTTTCAAAAGCACATGATTGACTTCTATCTGTCGCGGGTCGTGTTCCCAAAGGAGGCTAAGGAGTTCCCTCACAAGCTTTCTACATCGGCATGGGATCTGCCGTCTCGACCACATCAGCCTCTAACCACCGGTTTTAGTGGAACGAATGACAATCGATCGCTCCTTCCGCGATCCACGCCGCAGCGAGATCTGCCACATCTGCTTCACACGAATGCAATGGTCCTAAACAGTCTTTTGCGCCCGGAAAATCGCAAGTGCATACTTGCTCAAGACGATCAGGGTCGGCCACTTCGCACGCACCAGCTCATAGACCTTGTGAATGGACAAGAACCCTCTGTACGCGTGATAATCGACGTTGGCGCGCAAATTCTCGAGTCAAGCAATCGTGCGATTGCACAATACTGGCTTTCTACGACTCCATCTGCCGAGGGGGCCTTGTTCTATGATGACAATGATGAACTGACCGTGGTCGACCGCGAAGGACATAGGGAACGTTTGCTAGCGTCGTCTTTTCGACATAGGATGGAAACTTGTCTTGTGTTTCTTGACCAACAACATGCACGAGGCGTTGATCTGAAACTCCCACGAAGTTACCGCGCTGTTGTTACGCTTGGTCCTCGGCTGACAAAAGATAAGCTTGTACAGGGTAGGTGTCGTCGACATGACAATGGAAGTGAAGTTGTTAACACTATATGCAGCGTGTAATAGGATGCGCGGGCTTGGCAGCGGCCAGTCAGTGATGTTCCTCTCTCCACCAGTAGTCAGTCATGAGATGGGGGCTGAAGCCAATCCTATCACCTCTGCCGATGTAATCCGTTGGTCTCTTCGGCAGACTTGTGATTCTTTGAAGTCTCTGAGTCTCTTATGGGCATCACAGGGGCTACAATACTACAGGCGTATCAAGCTTTGGGACAACCTTATAGGCAACAAACACCCACAGGAGACTGTCGCACGCATACAAGAACCAGAAGCCCGGACCTTGTCTGAGCTCTATGCTCCCTGGGATCCCATCCATCTATCGATGACAAACGATGAGCACGACCAGAGTCACCCCGTAGTTCAGGAACTAATGAGGGTAGACAATGGAGCAGGAAGCTATCCCAACCTTCATGAGGAGCAGGAGCGTCAGATCTCGCATGAAATACAAAGGGAACAGCAAGTGTGCCGGCCCCCCGGGGTTTCGCCTCTCCCTCACCGTCTTCACAAACATGTCCGCTGCTTCGCACAACGGGGAGAATTGCCCGCCGATGGTACATCAAAAGCTATCCAGCCAGCGTTCGAGAATCTGCGCCGGACACCACTGGGACAATTTGACATCCCATCAACCATAGCTCCGTATTTGTATGCCTCGAGAGATTTTATTCTGACTGTCGAGCAAAAAGGGGCGCTGGCCTCCGATTTCCTAAAGCCAGTACACTGGGTGGTTTCGAACATCTACGACTCCAAACTCCTTCTGATCAGCCAGTACGAGGCAAACGAGCTGATTCCAGAAATTCGCGCCTCACAAAAGACCACCTTGCATGTTTACGCCCCGAGAACCAGCAAGGGGATGCGGTCGTTCAGTGATCTCCGCTTTCTGTGTACTGGTGCGGCGACTGAAAATGAGCAATCCATCCATGACAACCACGAACTCGAATTATTCTCCGGATCCCTGTACTTTCCATCGTTCAAAACATATGAAAATTTCCGACATTTCCTCGGCCTGGTTACCGAGAGCACGAGTCGGATGCTCGGTAACCGATTGCCCACCGAGGGCTTCGTTGATGAGCGGTTGCGGCGAGAGGTCGGTTGGCCGCTGCATTCGCCATTCCAGTCCAACCCCTTGCCTTTCTTAGGCGCACTCTTTGACGCCCGAAGTAAAGGCCACGGATACCTTCAGACACATATGGGTATGATTCTTGGGGCTAAAGCTTTGACCGCGAGCCAATTCTAGCAGTCTCAGACCGCATATTCTAGGCAATTGTGACTGTACATATACTTTTTGATTTAATGCAACGCTTTTATGTTCGGACGAATATAGATGCCTGAAACGCCGACGACCATACCCCTGAAGGGTAAAATCTTCATTCTGTTTCGCACGGTTTGCTGTGGTAGAGTAGGGCCCAGGACCTTCCTTCATGGTCACAAGGGGGATTCATACGGAGATGGTTATCAAGCATCTCGCTGCCGTGAGACATGATTCCCTGGAATATCGACTGTGGATTACAGGAGTACATTGTGACAATTCGGACTCGTGAAGGTACCGCTTACGACTGAAATACCAACCACAGATAGACAGGCAATAATTATAGATACTCGCAAAGGGCTTGTCCGTGCATATCTCTGTCTCGAACGCACCCTATGTACAGCCGATACAGGCTTCGGCAGGTCAATCAACACAACAGCGTCCTGGCAAGCAAAGGATACCCTCACGTGTTTGCGCCCAGTCATTGAATGAAGTAAACAGCTCCTGGAAGCTTTCCCCTAGACGAATCAAGCTAACAATCTGTTGTAGGTCGTCTTCCTACTCTTTTAGCCTACCCTAGTCTATCAGCCGATGCGAGAAACTGGATGGCGCAGCCTAAATCTGCATATATTGCACCAGGTTACCAGACACTTAGCGAATTCAATGGGCTCTTGATATCTTATGAATCTAGAGCAGAGATGAGAAGCGGAAAAAGATCACGACTCGTTACCCAAATTCCAGAGGAGTAAAAGCAGCTTAAAGACGCACTGGAGGAGGGCAAGAAACGCAAAGAGCGATATTTTTACCGTTCTGAGACAAACGTTTCTTCTGGATTGGTCAATCAGACTTTTCCATCTGCTCAAGTACCCAGGGGACCAGTCTCTTCGCGCCTCCAGGTTGTTTTCGGGTTGAGCCAGGTTTGATGACGTTGGTACTGTTCCAGAGATATAACCGATATCGCTATGCAAAGTGGAAGCTTCTGTTGCCCCTCCAGATGGGTTGGGTTTTTGAGCCACTGCGTGGTTTCCGCTGCTTAAACGTGATCAACCCTGGTTATAGTGACGCGTATACACTAATCATCTCCCAACCGTCCTATAGAATTGCACTCTTACTTCTACTTTCACACATCTAGTGTCTAGCTCGAAAGCTTCTCGGTTAAAGATGGATGGCGTTGGCATTGTTGAGATCACCTCAGTAAGCCTACCAGATGTTTTACCGCGATCTGATAACATCCTGGAATCCCTTGCTTGCATATACGTGTACCCAGGACATAAACCTCGTTCACGAACCCCGATATGACGACCGAATCCTCGAGCCCACTGCTGCATCTTTCCGAGAAAGCTGATGGTGGATTACGGATGGTCGTCCCAAGAGAAGATCGAACTCACAACCCTCCACCACATAAAATCTTGTACTATAAACCGTGTTATCTGCCCATAGTCTCCATTTCACATCCACCCTGCCTAATGGAGTGACCTCCCCCATTCCGGCCACCTGGAGGACGATCGATGGGTCACAGGAGGCCTTCGTCTGTAATCTTTTGGTACACGTCCACAGACATGATGTTGGCATCTGTCCGAAAGTCTAGTACCAGCAATTGGCGTATTTTCTGTCCTTTTTTCGTGAAGATCAAAACGTCATAGACGAAGTGGGAGTATGTTGGGTCTAGTTGAGGGAGGGAGACCTGGGTGTAATTTAAATCGAGTGAGGTGGTCCCTTCGTCGTTATGTGTGTGCGCAAAGGTCGCGTTAGTATATGGTAATGCAGAGGAATGGAGTTGAGGCTAGATTGTCGGTTTGGGAATTGCCTGAATAGGCTCAACATGGGGCTTCTCGCGACGAAGACAGCAGCCGAATACAATATGCCCAAGATCTGGGTGGACTGGCAACACCTAAAGCACGGCCGAAGAGAACAACATCAGCGAAGTAGAGGGGGGTGCAGACTGGGCGTGAAGGGCGAGATACCGATTTTCTCGGTGATGGATGGTCTTCGATTATATCTTTGTCGGAGTTGCCAGATTTCTCTTTTCTGCGTGGGAAACGAACATAGCCTATAGTATGTTAGGATCCGATCACCTTTATGCAACCACGGTGGCAGTGAAGAGGGTACCTACCCCTCCTAAGCCGCATCATTTGAAGATTCAAGTGCCGCGTATATTAGATATGAATGTTCAAATACCTAACACGGAGTGCCCCGAGGCCTGGACATTTAAATGTCGTGTGAAGTTGTGCGTGCAGGCTGTGCCGGTCGGTGTGAAATTTTTGAGAGGGAAAGCTGCAACGTGCATATGAAGGGCCTAAATACCTCTTCACATTCTACGCCGTGATTGTCCCTTCGGCAAGCTGCATTGTGGAGACCGAGGAAGTGCTGGACCAGAAGAGCTGGCTGCTGAAGTTCTAGACCACGAGAAACCAATGATGTTTCATCTGAGCGTCTCTGGAGCTATCAACACCCGGAAGTGAAAAGGAAGGTCGAAAGACACCGTCCATTGTGGATTCAGGTATGGGGCTCTTGTGCTACACTGCGTTCTTCCATTCCGACGCAGCCTCCTTAATGCGCTGAGATTATTAAATTACCCCTGACGAACCAATGGGCTCCGGTCAGTCCTGGGCATGGCTAGCTACTACGGCTTTCACCCTGCCAACAGCCTCTTGTTGTCGCCAAGGGCCAGATGCGAGCCCTGCAACATACCTGTTTGATTCATGGCCATGATATTATTTGACCTCTGTCTAGGTTACGTCGCTGCACTGTCTGGCATTACGACTGGCATTACGAGACTCATAGAAGACGCTAGATCACACTGCATCGACTCGGAACTGGCGGTTGGAACTCAACTAAGGCATCTGGAGTAGATCATGCCCAGGCACCATGCAGGGTTATATCTGACCGACAGTCTCCAAACAATAAAGCTATCTTTATCTCGGGGGTAATGACTCGGTCATGCGACTACTAAAGGTACCTTTAGAACTCCCCCATGGGCAACTGGGCAACTGGGCCATACAACAAGGACAGTGAAAGGGATTGGGGGATTGGGCATCTAATGTGGAGGGAGAGACAAGTCCGAGGGATGCTCTCGACCACCAGAGGAACAAAAAGAGAAAATCAAAATAAACTTAATCCGTGCCTCTCAGTGGCTATCTTCACCTGGAAAGGAAAAAGCAAAAGAGGTTCGAAAGATAAAGAGAACGGGACTCGTCCGGCGCAATGTCATCTCATTCGACCATCACCAATTCTAGCAGGGCTTCTTGTACTACATCACAGAGTATAATTTCCATCCTACGATTGCCTCTCTGTTCCGAGCGAGGATCTCTACTAGACTGTACCTGGTCAAATGGTGACCAGTCTCGGGCACTGCAACATACCTGTTTAGTTTATTGTAACCATATTTTCTGCGGCCCATGACTCTACATTACTGTAAGTTGCATGTGCTCAGTCCGCCTAGTCCGCTATCGCGAACCTATGGAGGTGGAGGATACTCGGTCAAACTCATGTTGGTCCCACATCTCCCTGCGGCTGAGCTAGATCGAAACATCCAGATCTACTGTCGCCACGCAAGTCATCAGCAAGTCCAATACAGACTATGGGACAATTCTAATCGTCTCATGAAAGAGAAGCTGTATGTACAGGAAATAAGTTCCGCGCTGGCGCACGTCGCTTTCTCTTTTGATCACCCACATCAGCGCGGATCATTCGAAACAGGGCATCTTTTCCACCACAAATCAGGAGGTGCCGCCCACTACCATGGCAAAATACTGTGACGTCAACATGGGAGGTCATCTCCCTGCTAACTGCTCTCTGAGCTTTTCAACTTAAAGCCCGCTTTTATACTGTTTTCTTTCGCGCGCGACGTCTCACCAGCTCAGGGACCATACGGAGTCTGGGTGGCGAATTGCCAACAAGAATCTGCGCTATTATTCCTACTATGCTAGAAATGGAAGTCTAAACACCTTTTTGGCTAAGTGGGTTGATGGCTGACACAAAATTTGGTCAGGGGCTGGATCACAACACTCGCCCAATAGTCCCACCAACCATGACTTCTGGGTATTTGGCGATAGCCAGAAGCCCGATCTGGGGTCTACACAACCAACTAGTGAATTTTAGTTACTGCGGCGGAGATCCAGGTCATCTCGCGCACATATGTCGTGTAATCTGCCCAAGAACGGACTAGTCAATCGTGCGTAGACTGAGTACGGGACTGTGTGAATATTCCTGGAAGCTAGTGGGTATACGAAAAGCCGGGAAGGAATATTCATCTGTCGTCATCAAGCACCTTCGGGAAAACCCAAAAACGGGCACCACTGAAAGCCGGTCAACTGCGGGTTTGAAGAAGAGGTTGGTGGGCAAACCAGCGATATACGGAATCAGCCAAGGCTGGTCCCGCCGCTCTTGTTGAGAAGGAGCAAAAGAAATGATGACTTACAGCCAAAGTCAAGCTCTGGTCACGCCGGTCATGCTGACTCTTCAGATTCCTACCTGGTCATTATATCTTAAAACTAGTGCCGAAAGCTCTGAATCGGTATGTCGAAGAATTCCCGCTCCGACCCAACCAGATCTATAAACCGGGCATTTTTGACTTTTTGGCCTCTGAGCCCCAGGTCAACCTCGACTTCAGCAGAACACAACCTTGCCCGATCAATAAGTTCATGACAGAAACCTCAGACCAGGGCTATTGTCAGATATTTGGCCTGCTTCCGGTCCAAACAGGGCGTGCGAATGTCCCTGAGTATCTGTTTCTCTGACCAGGGTCTCGCTGGGTTGCCTCATCCTTATCGAGAGCTTCCACATACCCACCCGGGGACAAGGGGGGGAATATTCGATCCCTGATCGCGCGCTATCCCCCGTCAAGGTCGAAATATGTCAAACAAATCATACTGCAATCTGAAGGCGTCTGAGCGGAAACTGCTGGCCAAGGAATCAACTCGAACCAGGCAATACGCCCGAGCCGTGGACTTACCAACTGAAGTAGCCTATACATACTGTACGTGCCACATGGCATTATGACTTTGCCTGCCAACAAAGCTTGGTCGTACGGATTGAATAGAATCAACAAGGCAGATCATTCTAATGCGCCACTACGAACCTCAGCACTGAAGACGTCAATTTCAGCACTAATGGAACAGTGTATACAAAAGATAGAACCTATTTAGCTGGATATACAATGTACTACAAAAAAGAAAAACTATTGTACTGTAAGATCCGCAAAACCCGTCTTGTATTTGCAACTGCATCACATGATTGATGACATGCTAGACAGACTATCATGGCTGTTCCTTGGAAGGTGAAATCACAAGGGCAGCCAGACCCTCTCTTTGCCGCCGATTGTTGCGGGTACGCCCAGTGTACAATAGGCGGAGACGCAAACAGTCTTTGTCTGGCGTGCCCCTGTACAACCTGGAATCATGTTGCACCACGCAGCATTCTACAGATTGGGAAAAAGGTCCGCTATGAAACCAATAGAGGGAAAGCGTCGGCAATGATCACTTTCAATTGAGCAGAAAGCAGTAGTTGGCGGTTTTGTAACCGTCATGATCTGACGCATGGACGTTCGCCATAATCATGGAATCGCTCGAGTAGGTGTCATAATATGTACCAGCAGGGCAACAGCACGTTCTTTGTTCTTAGACCCTCGTAGCAGGTAGTGGAAGTGCTCTGGCCTTTTGTATTGGATCTCAAAGGATGGCGCGTGTACAGATCAAAAACCTCCGTCATTGTCGCGATACTCTGCGTTGCATATTTTGGCATCGGCACATCCAATACTGTACCGTAGTCATTTCTGAGTGAATGAAAAGTTATTCTTTGACCCCCAATATTCGAAACAACGTTATCTGAACAGCAGAAGGTAATGATAATTAAGCGATGGAGCTAAGCCACAGTGGACGGAGTCATGTTCCATCAGCATGCAATCGGCGCTCTGTCAGAACATGGAGAAGCTTGACCGCTACTGTCACTCTGGTGAATGGACCAAGAATTTTCCATTGAAGGAGACGGAATAGGCTACACAGCCAGTCCGAGTACGTGGCATCCCAAGCTATTTCTCGTCATTTCACTACGAGTAACATTGGCTACGTCAGGCGGGTAACCTGGCGGGTGCCTCTTGACGTGGCATTTGATTTCGATGGCAGGATACCCTCATTTTCTGGTCGCATTTTCGTTCAATTCATCCCATTTCTCAAGTTGAGGTGATCGATAAATTTATATCTCGCGGTCAACGACGGGCCCGAAATGCTAACGACACAAGGTATGCCTGTCGTCATGTATTCCATAGGGCTTGTTCACCCAAGCCATTCACTCGAAGACCTAGGTGGGGCATCACCTAGGTCACACGGGGGAACGCTATTTGTTGTGCTATTGGGCCCATCGGGTCAAGCAATCATAGGTAGAACTAGAATACGGGCAAATGATATTGTTCATCCCACATCTCTTTTCTGCAATGTTCTTCACCAAACCCGAGATGTTTGATCAATGCCCGAGTACGTCGACTCAAAGAATATAGCTCCGGCACATCTCGGGTTAGTTGACGTGAATATAAAAAGGTCCTCTGACCCGCGCCTGTCAAGGATTGAGAAGCAATTTGGGCGCAACTCTGGAGATGACTAGAGACTTTCAACAAACATAAGAGCATGTTAAGCCTGCCACTCAAGATCACCGGCGCCACAGCCGACTTGGTATAATCTTATTGAGTCTAAATGATTTGCATATCCACACCATGCTACGTACACCATAGCCTCTGATCCTCGGCTCTAGTTCATGTCATGCTCTGTGCATCTCTTTCGCCTCGACTCATCACCTTCCTTGATAGCGTGGGTCGGCCTTGAACATTCTCGAAATTGCGATCAGTTTCTCCAGGACCACTTCAGTCCCCCCGCTGCAGAAGTTCGCAACCGCACCAGACATGTGACAGTCGACACCCGATATGCATTATTACGCTTAACCGTTGCGTGTACCGCATCAACCGCTMGTCGGCAATACCAGGGAGCGCGAATGGGGAAATTCACCGCGGACGCGGGTCCAAGCGAACGGACCGTCGGCCTGTCCCCTACGACATCTGTCCACACGCACGGATCAGGCTTTTACGCCTTTTGAGACGGCAGTTTCCGATTTTGCAGTATGTGTTGGAGTCATTGGTGCGCGGATTGAAGCTGATCTGTCGCATATTGCACACAAGAAACCCTGCATTTACGCGGGAATCCCGGATGCTGTCGGGCATTTCGTTCGTAGCTGGATAAGCTCCGTCGCCTCTTGTTGGCTGCAAACGGCACCTGCTTCCACGCTGGTCATCGACTAGTCGGTATATCGCGTACGACACCGTTTGGTAAAAGGGAGCGGGAGGCATCCAGCATCCGTCCGAGGTTCACGCATCGCGAGAGTGAATTCGACAGATTCACCAGCATCTAACGTACATCCCACTGGCTTCTGTCCGCTAGGGACGTTGTCGGCCCCTAACGGGGCGTCCACAAATTCGAKCTCTTTCCCAGTCTTCCCAGTCATCAACAGCATCAGTGGCCGGAAGCATTCAGAAGGCGGCCCTCGAGGGCCACAGCGCGGCAACCTGAGGAACAGGACGCAAAGAGCCGTTGCACCAGACTCCACGAACGAGGAATCTGCTGATGATATGGCTCCGTCGAACATCACCGATATGGCACTGTCAATGGGCCAGCCGACAAGTACCCTACACTACCGCTGAGGATCGGGCGGGAAACACCTTATCGCTAAGCGAAGATGGTATTGAACATACCTCCAGAGGAAGACCATTTCCCAACAGCGAGACTCACAAGAGAAGGCGAGTGGCGCCTTTTGGGCGGGAAACCTGACGGAATCCATGGCACCGCCCCGTCTCCGCATGCTAGGAAGGCTAGAAATTAGGAAACAAAGCGGGACATTGCCGCGGTACGACGGCTGGCGGACTCCAAGGAACGTAGGGCTTCGGAAGCTGGCGAAAGCACGGATATGTTGGGGTTGGGCCTTTCTCAGCAGAAGCTGTTACGAAGATCCAGCGGATACCAACATGGAAGAATACGAGAGGTCGAATAATGCCCGGAAAAGGAACCTGCGACTGGGGCAGCGCTGCCTTGGTCAGTATTTCCGTTTGATCAGGCTTGGGGCTGAAATGTTTGCTGGAGCGATCTTGGCTCATTTTCCTCCAGGTATTGCCGACGAAAACAACATAACCATCAGCTCGTCCGAAGTGGGCAGAAGCAGAAGATGCAATGTCAACCATCGCCAAACAACGTGCACCGGTTCTAAATGGATGACACCCTAGATCCCACCTGGCCTCTGTCTAATGCCTCATCTCTGCACCCCCTGAATGCCCTTCCTAGAGCGATCGAATTCTGTCCGACGACCAACATGGATCCCTTGCGAGCATCGAAACGCAGGGTCTGATAAAATGTATCCGATAAAGAGCCGTATCAATCGCTCTATGTGATGTCAACTTGCTAGGTGTGTTGCAGGGGCATTTGGTGCGGCTGCCAATCGCGACGTTCGGACATCCCTTGTTGGTCGGATACGTGGTATGGCAGTCATTGGCGAAACTCCGCGTTTTTCGAATTCTCCTGATATTTCGGCAGGTCTCACGTCAGGGCCAACAACACCACCCAAAGTCGATCGATCCGATAACTTTGGCTGGTACCCTGTCAATTTTTTCAGTTACAAGATGCTGCAGCAAATTTTGTATGTTAACATATCCCTTTCACCTTGTACGCTTGGTGCACAGCTAACCGTTCACCGCGTCTCTATCCTGCCTTATTTGTTTCAACGATCCCATCATGAGTGCCCCTTACACCCTGATATCGTGGTGTCCACCATATACGGCAAGCCGAAATTTCGTTAGCGCCATCTGCGACACTCGACCGACTTTTGGCCCTTCTGCCTGCGGTGCGTCGCGACCCTTCTTAACCAGCTAAACGAACAATATCAAAACGAGGAGTACAGTTGGCTTGCTTCAAAGAGCACCCCATGATTCAAATTATTGATGCTCATTGTCCATGACCCTTAGACCATCACCGTGATCTGTGTCGTATCCGTTCACCCAAAGTGACACCGACTCTTCATACCATCGGTCAAAAAAGAAAACAAATCATCACATGCCATCGCAGGCCGTGCCTTCCACTTCCAGACCGGGAGACACCATTTCTTATTCGCCAAAACAGAAAGCGGTGCCCAAGACTAGCTGGTTATTGTTCCTTCTTCGCGTGAACTAGAGGAAAACGTTGCGGGATCGAGGCGCCTAATAGGTATTCATGGCGGCTTTTCATGCCACGTGCGAGGTGTGCTTTCTCTATGCTGAATGGCATACTGTTCGCATTGCCCGCTTTGAAATAGCCTCTTGGACGATATGCTGCATTCCTTCCCCTCCCTTGATGACCAATGCACAACTATCTCTGCAGGAGCTGGCTCCATCCTGATACTCCGCCTTCGAGTAGTCCCGATGAAGTCACTGGTTCCAGCCAAAGTGACTTGAGAGAGCTGAGTCGTACGAGAATCACCGGCTGGACAGATCGGGTTGGGAAAATGTTGTCGCGGCGATGACCCACTCGGTAAGCCGTCAGGAGACCTATGACACCAAAACGATGTTGGCTACGCGCGGCCTCTAGAGCGCCCGCTCCCTGGTGATCCTTGATGTCGACTTGGACATCGGTATCCTCGAGTAACCGTCCCACAACCGTCGTCTGCCCTTCATAGGCCGCCCACCACAGAGCGGTGCGCCCTTGATCGTCAATGCTGTTTCGGTCCGTCCGACGTCGCGCAGGATGGCGTCGACCACCTGCACGTGGGTTCCCGTAGCCGGCGGCTACAGACAGTGCGGATTCCTTTTGGTAGGTTTGCACGTTATTCCAGTAGGTCCCCGCAGGCGATCAGCCGCATGACCACATCCGTGTGGCCTGCAACGATGGCAGCCAACGGTGGTGACAGGTATCCTCCCCATCCTTGGTTAATGTCAATATTTCGGAACTCTAGGAGCCGTTGAACCACTCGGAAATGGCCGGTGCTTGCAGCTAACCACAGCGGTGGTTGTTCGTTTTGCGTGGTTTCATTCACTTGGATATCTCGTCGCGGGGGCAGCCATTCCACCGTCTTGACGCGCCCTGGCGGGCTGCACAGCCGAGCGGAGTCCAGCCCTGATGGTCGGCAACGTTGGGATCGAGTCTCTTCTTCCTTAAAAGCAGGCGGATGATCAAGTTTGCTTCGTCCCCGGGCAGCATGATGGAGGAAAGTCAATCGATCCGGGAGGGGTCGCTCGAACTGGCCAACGGCGTTGATGTGTACCTTCGGTTCGGCCAGCAGCCGTGCGGCAACACGTGTGTTGTTGCGTCATGTGGCCCACCAGAGCGCAGTCGCTCCTTTTGTATCCTTGGCTTTGATGTCAATGCTCGGCTCAGCCAGAAGCAGCTTGACTACAGCCAATGCCCTCGATTGGCGGCATTGTGCAATGCTGTCGATCCGGTCCTGCGCATGCAAATCAACCTGCGTGTGATTCAAAAGGACCCCGTCGATTATACGATCCTCATTTGGGCCGCCAAATGCAACGGTGTTTGGCCTTCTACGCCACTTCGGTCACGTTCCAGTCGTGATCAAGCAGCAGCCGCACGATATCCTCACTCCCCTGACGGGTGGCCTGGCTTAATGGCGATGGCTCGTTGTGGATGCCATGGGTAGCTCCAGGCCATAGTGTCGAAGGATCACGAGGTGAATATGTCAACAACTTCTGCACCGTGGACAAGGTTTCCTGCCTAATTGCCAAGTGGAGCGGGCTCAGGCCGTCTACGTCTGTGGCACTGATATCCGAGCCGCTGTTGAGGAGCAGTTGGACGAGGTCTCCGAACTCGGCAGTAACACGCAATCATGATATGCAGTTATAGCACACAGAACGCCGACGGGAGACTTTTTGTCACCAGAAAATGAACAGGCCTTCATCGACAAGATCTTGGAAGAAAACAACATGACACAACACGGCTGTCCCTTAGACAGATAGCCAGGCTGAAGCCACGAGCCAAACCGCTAGGCAAAGATGGATCATTGGCTACAATTTCGACACTATTGAGGCGGCGGACTGGCTATAGACAATGTGCTGCTGGTTGGGCAAAGATATACTGACAGTCTCCTGCCATACCGGATCAAAGGAAGACCATGCTGCCGGTGCCATGTATATAGCCACCCTGCCTGCGCATATAAGGAGACAGAGACGTGGACATTGCGCGGGCGAGCACGAACTGCGACATTCCCGCCGCCGTCGCTGTTCACGCGGTTTCGCCTCTCGGCGGCACGCTTCCTTCATGTCGTCTATTGAACGCCGAGGAGGCTTGGGACGAGCTGTTGGATCAGCTCGATGAAAGAGACAACCGGGATTACCACCGCCTGAACGTAAAATCTCCTGGACAGGAGCCTTTGCTGAACGCTGAAGGGTAGGTGAAATGGATCTCTGACCTAGTGGACTGGACGGCCCATGCCCGTAGCGCTTGCGCTAACTTCCCTAGTGCTAGCTAGTCTCTTCCTGGAATTGTCCTCCGCTCCAAATGGGAGGATGCTTACCTGCCTTGTGTCGGAGTTATTAGGTGTCGCCTACGGGGAAGGATCCTAGTTACAGTTTGCTAGGCTTTACCCGCAGGCATCGACGTACGTCATAGGCACTGTTAGAATTACGTGGCGCCATGTGACGACGCGATCTGCAACGGCTGTTCAAGATATCGCGTACCTGTCAGATTCTCGCTTGACGCGCCTGACAGTTTAATAACGTTGTCCATGGAGCTTAGCAGGAACGAGCAGCAGCCACTGGGTGGTTTCCCAGTTTCGCTCAGGTGGCTCGCTGATCAGCAGACTGGCTGCACTATGACTTTGATTGGCTTGCTCGCTTGATCTGAGTGCAAATCATGTGAGTTACGGATCCGCAAATCCGCACTAGCCCAATCTACCTTCAAGATACAGGAAAAAGGGTCCGCTTTCTCTAATAATCAAATCTTACTGTGGGGGAAAGGGTAGCTGTAGTGTCGTCATACGTGGTAATAAAAATTTCAATTTCTTGTCCTTACTGAAACCGTACTTTTGCTTACCAGCTCTTTCAGACTATTTTGTAGTAAATACAAAATTTTCCAGCTTGATTATCAACTACATTGGGCCATGCCATCCTGGGCGTTTCGTCATCCGGCAATATCCTGCACCGAATTTCCTTTCAGTCCCTGGGTGAACGTATTTACATTCTCCATGGAGCTGCGGCCGGTCGGGACTATTAGTCTGAGTGGGAGGTCCCCAGTTGGGTGGATTGCGGCAGGAATTGGAGTAACTCTCCTCAATTCGCTCTGCCCAATTGCAAATCGATTCAGCTTGGTGTAGCGCCTTACTTCTGGAGACGATCAATGAAGTCTAGAATTCCCCATGGTTGGTGGCTGGAACGCCCCGTTTGTGATGGACCAACCTGTCGGGTCCGTTATCACAATTTCAAGAGTGGATTGCCAATAAATGCCAATCGTATCGCAATTGTTGGAAATCCAGAGAAAGTAGCATTACTGGCCAATTGATACCCTGACTCTTTGTTTCTGGGCGTTGGGATGAATCAGGATATGAACCGAAGAAGAAAGATAGAAAAACCGCCACGCCTCCAGATACCTGCGTCAGAACCATTCTTCATGACTACATACATTAAAGCCACCATGGTGACTCCTGAGGTTAAGCGAGAGATCTTGGAGAAAACGGTATGTGAAGACCTCGATTCACTCTTTATGATATTAACAGCTATAAGCAAGCTTTCATTCGACTCCTAGATGAGGCTCAGAACGGCGATGGCACAGGGGAAGGAGACCCTGACCACGAGCGACGTGTTATGGAAGCCTTGGTAAGCGCTTGCTGCTGCCCGGAGTCTCCTCCGCTAACAGGCGTTACAGGTTGACATAATAATAGCACTTATCCGCCTTGCAATCCTCTCATCCTCAGGCCAACATCAGCAGCCCTCTGGCTTTACAAGGCTCGTACGCGACATCGTGAATGTGCTATGTTCGGGAACCGAAGAGGAGTACCCTCCTTCCACCAGGACGATTCAGAGACGCACTATGCCTCCTGCCTCACCTTCAACGAGCCCCAACCAGTGTATGGATGACGCCGATTTGACACTCCATCCTTCATCGACGTGAATATCTGGACACTGTGGCTGGCGATGGACTGTTCCAACCTGTTCATCATGGGTATAGGGATTGGTCTTAAGGTAAATCTGTATACAATCTATGCTTATCCACACATCTACTTAAAATGCGGCTTATACTACGCCAAATCTGTAAATATAAAAGCCACCCAATCAACTCCACTGAAGGCGACGTCAACGCCCATCCATTAAAGATAGACCGAAGCTGCCTCCCGTTCGCCGCCCCCAAATCATAAATTACCAGCGCCACGCCCGTCGGCCGCATCCGTCAGAAGCTGCATCGTCGACACTGGCAACCCCAACCTCGACGCCAGCAACACTATCACTGTCGCCCAGCCTCATCGCAAACCCCCAGTCAGCGACACGCTAAATTACCGTTGATGGGAAAATCACGCATACGAGCTTATATAATGATGTTATAGTCCCATGATATCATCCAAAGGACAGGCGGACAGCATGTCCATATTGTTTTGCACAAGATCCCAAAGCAATACGTCGGCCGAGTTTAGGGATCGGTAGCCATTCTCACATCTGCAGAGAAGAGATTGAATTTCGAATAGCGACCTTCATATGAGACATCTCCCCAAGCAAGTACAGCAAGGTTGGGAAGACCATCATTACTGAAGGCCCACATTGCGAATTCAAAGATATCGTCAGGACCATATGGCGGGTCTATTGGGATCTTGGATTTTACATTTGTGTGATATCTTGAAATTCTAGGACAAACTTACCATCTCAATATCTGTAATTAAATACCGGTGCAGATGACCAGTTGCGCTGTTCATAGCTGGACATTTTCTCCAGGACCACTCCACTCGTCCTTATATGCAACAGCTTGCATGATGGTCTGGGTTGCATTTTTCGTAATTGACCGTCGTGTCTCTCAGTCAGCAGTTATGCGAGTGTCGAATATCAACAGTCAGACATACTAATTCTTTAGGTGGTGTGGAAGATCCATAACAAGTGAATTGACTTTCTTGCAGTACCTGTTCAAATGAGAAGGCAATGGTATACCTCCGTCTACGAGGTATTGGCCACCACGATCCGCTAAATGGTGCATGACAAAGCGCGTCAGATGACAAAAACAACTGGCGACTGCACTTGTGAGAGCTGTCCAATCGAAGGGTTCGGGGAACATGAGATAGAGTTTCTCTAACTTGCGGATGTGCTGAATAAAACTGCAGATTGTCTCCGTAATACCCATGTAGTCATCCCTTTGAAGACAACTGAGGTCGAGAGCAAGTTCGAAGGACTTTAGCTTCATCAATTTCTGAGAGCTAAGTACCAACTGCAGCCAGTCAACTGACCCTGGGCAATTCCGTAATTTTAAGGTGTTCAAGTTCTTCAGATTGAAAGAACAGAGCATTTCGGCTCCAGCACGATTGAATGAGACGGCCGACAGGTGAAGATGTTCGAGAGTTTGAAAATCAATCCTGTTGTCCCCAGGTTGGGCATTCAGCACTTTTCGCGCGAAGAAGTTGTCGGGTACGCTTCCGGTGCTATGTCAGCGAAATCCATCGGCCCAGATTCCTTCTGCTCGATCCCAATTCACAAGGTCTAAGGTAAGTGAAATAATTTGGTGGCCATGGACTCTAATGCAGTCTTTGAGAGATTCGAAATCGCCATACCTGTTCAGGCCCTTCCAGACAAGTGTTCTCCAATCTTTGAACTGAACAAGGTCCACTAAGTGCTGCGAACTAGGTTCCGTACCACCACATTCGCCATCCGTGATAAGTGAAATGGATTGAATGTGTTTTTGGTTCCTGAGAGGAGAAAGCTCACTACCAGACAGCAGGCCATCTGGAATACATGTGCCGAGCTCCCACCTATATCCGAGTAAGTCGTTGGCCAAAGCAAACAAACTCTGCACTTACCGGAATCTTCGTAAATGATCGTCTTGGAACTGCAAGGATGCTTCAGCTTGGAAGGGCTGGCGTGGTTGTCCTGTGGAATTTTACTCAGGTGAACATACGGAAAATAAGCTAGTGTGGTATGCGTTTCTCCAGCCGTTCGAGCCGCACGCCGTGTTTACTCTCCAATGTGTTCGAGAACAGATCGACGGGGCTCTGTTCGCTGCGTCCTTGGGAGCCCGTTCTAGGCTCCCCTCTGCCGGTCTCAGTCATGGCCATGTCGTCACGTAGCGGTGTTGTTCTAATGCGCATCGTGGCTTCCAACGCAGTTTGCTCAAGCTGCTGTTGCACCGGGAGTAGATGAGATTCGACGTCCACCGCTGCACCAGCAGTTGTCCTAAAGGCCCCTGCGATGAGCTGGGCTGCACGTCTCTGGATCCTCTGGATAGTACTCGTCATAGCGTATCCTCTGGTTGTGTAGCCGTTTCCAGGGATGTAACATGCCGAACAGCCATAAAGCATCTGGGGTACGATCATTGCGCGGTCAACATGCCGGAGATGGATGGCCCCGGTTGCCCATGTTGAGGAGGCGAGTGCTGGCAGAGCCGACAGTCGCTCCGTTGGCCCCGCCTCTACCTTGTCGCGGTGGTAGTCCCACCGAAGCTTGCTGTCCATCTGGATTCCTAGATAGCGACAGGACGCGGAGGCCTTTATAGTGGCGTGCGGCAGGCGGAGAGCATGTGTGCTGTTCTTTTTAGGGTCTCTCGTGAAATGGACCTGTTCATATTTTGCCGGTGCGAATTGGGAACCGTGTTTGGCTGCCCATTGTTCGGCTTTCTGGTGGATCTTTTCAAGGTCTTGCAGTTCCGTTGTGCCATCGGCCCTACTGCCAGCGTAGACACATCGTCAATGTATCCGACCGCCTCCGTATCCTGTGACCTGCATCCCTCAATCAGGTCTGCGTTGTAGAACAGGTAGAGAATTGGCGAAACCGGAGATCCTTGCGGGATGCCGGTTTGGGTCGGCGCCGATGGGGCCGTGAATTCCAGCAGCTTGAGGGTCGTAGTACGGTCACAGAGGAAGGACGCGATCCAGGCTATGATCCTCCGGTCAATCCGGCGTTTTCGAAGGTTATGCAGGAGCCGTTCTGGTGATACATTGTCGTATGCCCCTGATACGTCGAGTAGCAGCAGAGAGGCTACCTTACCTTCAGATCACGCTTGGTGTATCCGTTGGAGTAGGAGGTGCATGGCATGTTCCGTCAATGTGAGTTTACGGCCCCCGTATGTCGGCTTAGGAGGAGGTGGTGCACATCTGCTAAATAGGAAAGTCGGTTGGCGATGATGGCTTCCATCACCTTGCCTAGGGTATTCAGCAGTGCAATTGGTCTATATGCCTTAGGTTGCGTGTAATCATCCTTCCCCGGT